GTTGAGAGGGTGTTCATGGGTTGAGAGAGTGTGCATGTGCATGGGTTGAGAGAGTGTGCATGGGTTGAGTGAGTGTGCATGGTTGAGTTTTGAGAGAGCATCCCTCACATCCCTGACCCCTGCTTCTTTTCTCCCTGCTTCCCATCTCACTTGTTCCCCTGCTCCCCTGCCTCCCTGCTTCCCTGCTTCCCTGCTCCACCCTTTCCTGCCCCCTCCCCCCACAGGGTGGGCCTGGCAGCAGTCTCTGCCCGCATGACTTGGAGTGCCAGGGCTGCCCTGCTCTTTGCTCCCTGCTGCCGTTTTCACCTGCTCCCCTGTTCACCTGTTTTCCTGCTCCCTTGCTCCCCAACCCTTCCTGTTCCCACCACAGGGTGGGCCTGGCAGCAGTCTCTGCCCGGACGACTTTGACATCACCGGGCGGCAGTGCTCCACGCCGGCAGATACACCTCCCCCAGAAGAGGCCCCGTGGTGGGCGCGGCGCGGGTCGATGCGCGAGTTTGACTCCAAGTTTGAGCGCGCGTACCGGCAGCTGCGGAAGCAGAAGATCCGAGAGGCCAAGGAGAGGGCCAGGACTGCCCGGGCTGCTCGGCTGAAGAAGAGAGAGGAGAGAAGCATGCGCCAGCATGGGAATGAGGCCAGGTGAAGGCGTTTTGTTGCAGGTGTTTTTTCAGAATCCTAGAAAAAACGCCTGCAACGGAGTGCCAGGGCCCCTCAACTGAAGAAGAGGGAGGAGAGAAGCAGGTGAAGGGCTGAGCTGAGGGGATGGCGAATGGGAATTAGTCAACAGATTGTCTGGAAAGGGGAAGAACTTGGGGAGGAAATGGAGTGGTGAAGATACTGTGGGATTCTTCTGTGGAATTACTGACTGGAGTGGTTATTGAGGGCAAGTGCATCAGAGCACATGGTGGAAATGCACTGCTGCTTAGGAATCGTGTCAGCAAGCTAGGAACAGATAGCATCTGAATGTGATGTTAATGGTATAACTGAGGCATTAGCAAATTCAAGGCTTCTAGGTATTGCAGGCATTTGCCTGTTACACATTACAGCTTGCTCATCTTTGGGCAATCTACTTACCTACCTACCGGTATTTGAATACCTTGTTTTCTGCTCATATATGTCAACGAATCAGTCAATGGCGGCCCGATTTGCAGCCAGTCACGCTACTGCCCGGTAGGTGGATGAAACCAGTGTGGGGTCTGGAGGGGCTGCATCTGTAACACCCACCAATCAAAATCATTTGCGGCTCCCCTGAGTTCTGGAATGCGGACCGAATTTCCCAATGCTGGTTTTCCCCCTGAGCGTCGAGCGCAAGCAGGGGCGGAAGCGGAGGCTAGGCAGGGGAACTCTGTACAGACGGGGAGCTACAACCAACCAACCACACGCTTTTCTAGCTTTTTATTGGTCAGTTCCCATTGGGACGGTCGTTCCGCATGAAGGCGCCGCCGCCGTGTTGCGAGGCGCTTAAGGACGTGTTGCGATTGGTCAGGAGAGACGCCACGAGCAAAACGACGCATGCGATTCTCACACCAAGAAGAGCCATCGCCGTCGATGCCGAGCCGACAACAGTGCCTTTAGTACTGTTCAGAGCGGTCTGAGGCGCATGTTTATGTTAGTTCCTCGATTCGACGACGAATGTCGGTCGTCGCGCCCCCAAACCTCTTCCCCCTTTCCCCGCCCGCCCCACAACCCCCCTACCCCACCCCCACCCCCACCCCCACCCCCACCCCCTCCACCTCTGCGGAATATCCCAGCGGAATCGGGTCGTCAGCTCCGTCGACCCTCTGACAACCTGACGACCTGCTGCCCCGGGCAGAGAAAAACTAAAACCAGGGGCTATACGGTATTCCTATCGCTACTATTTTCTAGTACCTTCTGCTCAGAAACAGTGGCGTGGTGGCGAGGCGAGGCGCAACTAACGACAACGTCTTGATTTTTGCGAGGTTCCTCCTCAGCCTCCGCCATTAAGCGCCGCCGGTGCTGCTGCGATTATTGCGAGTGCTTGGACGGTAATCCGTTTCGTTCCGTCGATCGTCTCACTCCTCACCATACCATCCTGCAGACAACCAGACCCGTCGAGTCGCGTCTCGTATCACACTGCGTGTTGCTAGTGTTTGATCTCACTCCTCGCACGGAGCCACGTGGCAAATTACCAAAAGGCGAGCGTGAGCCGCGCAATGCACTAGCTTTCGCCAGCTCCAAGCACCTCGTGTCGTGTCAGACGAGGAAACTTCGCCGAAGTAGCCTGTCCCTTAGTCGCCATTATTTCTTTATAGGCAAGCGCCTCGCCCCCGTTATTCCGCATCGGATTTGCAGAAGATTCTGTTCCTCTGCGACTCGATTCGAATCGCCTACTAGAAGCGATGAAATCGTCCACGTCGCGCGACGCTCTCTCGTCGCACGGGTCGTCGCCACCGTCGCGCGTTTCCAGCCTCGGGTCGCTCGTGTCGCATGGATGGGCCATACTTGGTCTTAAACGAAGCAGTTCTCATAACGAACGATTCACTGGCAGCGGCGCACCTGATTGGTTCGGCTCCGACTGGATTCGTTTAGTCTCTTTGCGATTAACGCGTGCCTCGTTATCCTCGTTATAAGCGAAGTGTCACCGTTCTGCGCGCGACCCTCGGAAAGGGGCGGAGCCGGGTTGGGGCTCCCCCAAGATGCGTCCGCGGAGGATTCGGGGAAACTTGCGCGGATGCGGGGATTGCGGCAGGCGTTCCCGCTCTTGGGGCTCAACAGCGACTCGGGCCTGGAGTAAGCGGGCGGAGGGGATGGTGGTGGTGGGGAGGAGAATAGGGGAATAGGGGAAAAGGGGAAGAAATGGGGGAAATGGTGGGGGAAGGGGAAAGGGGGAACGACAGACTCAACAGCGACTCGACAGCGACGCGCGCCTGGAGAAAGCGCGCGGAAGGGATGGTGGTGGCCGGGAGGGGAATACAAGGGGAAGAAATGGGGGGAGATGGTGGGGGGAAAGGGAATGGGGGAAAAAGGGAAGAAATGGGGGGAAATGGTGGGGGAAGGGGAAAGGGGGAACGTCAAGGCGGGGATGTTGGGGGTACGGGGAGGGAGCAGAGCAGAATAGCGGATGTGCGTTATAGGTTGCAGGGTTGGATGGCTGCAAGGTATCAACTTCTCAGATAAATATAAACAGCAATAAATTATTGCTATAGCATACATGTATAGTTACAGTATTGCCGAGTTGAGGGTAGAGGAGGTCACCCTGAGAAGCAGGCTTGGTTACCCTTGCGTCTTGCCCCTTTTATTCTCCTTGATTTCTCATTGTGCCCTCCGCCGCTCCCCATCTCCTCTCTATGGTTTTGCAGCCCAGGTGACTCTGGAGGCCCAGGTGCTTCAGGTGTTCTTTCAGGTGGCACAACAGAGGACCACGTGTGCTGGACGTCATCAGGAGGTGGGTGCTGGCCGAGTTGGTGGATAGATGGCATGTTTTGGCTGTTTTGATAGAGCCAGCCATGTTAAGGTTGGTGATTGTATTGTTTTGTAACATACCGCTTTACTAAGCACCACAACAGCTACATTTGTGGAAGGTGGACAGGTGGGGTGTGCAGGCCAGCTACATTTGTGCTGCTTTTGTGAATTCTCAAAAGCGACGCAGGTGGGGTGTGCAGGCTAGCTAGCTACATCAGAGCTGCTTTGGGGAACCTGTGGCTCTATTATCACCACCCCCACCCCACCCCACCCCATCCCATCCGTCTCCACCCAACCCAACCCTCCACACATGCAGACTACCAGTCCCCATCAGGCGTGGTGGTTCACGGCCCAGGCTGTTCTGCCTGTCTGCGCGGGCAGCGCTGCTCCTTCCTCGTCTCCATCCGCGCGCCCCACCCTTCTCCACCCAACCCAACCACCCTTTTGCTGCAGATTACCAAAACCCATCAGGCGTGGTGGTTCACGGCCCGGGATGCTCCGCCTGCCTGCGGGGGCAGCGCTGCGCCTTCCTCGTCTCCATTGCGCGCCCCACCCTTCTCCACCCAACCCAACCACCCTTTTGCTGCAGATTACCAAAACCCATCAGGAGTGGTGGTTCACGGCCCGGGATGCTCTGCCTGCCTGAGGGGGCAGCGCTGCTCCTTCCTCGTCTCCATCCGCGCGCCCCACCCTTCTCCACCCAACCCAACCACCCTTTTGCTGCAGATTACCAAAACCCATCAGGCGTGGTGGTTCACGGCCCGGGATGCTCCGCCTGCCTGCGGGGGCAGCGCTGCGCCTTCCTCGTCTCCATTGCGCGCCCCACCCTTCTCCACCCAACCCAACCACCCTTTTGCTGCAGATTACCAAAACCCATCAGGAGTGGTGGTTCACGGCCCGGGATGCTCTGCCTGCCTGAGGGGGCAGCGCTGCTCCTTCCTCGTCTCCATCCGCGCGCCCCACCCTTCTCCACCCAACCCAACCACCCCTTTGCTGCAGATTACCAAAACCCATCAGGAGTGGTGGTTCACGGCCCGGGATGCTCCGCCTGCCTGCGGGGGCAGCGCTGCTCCTTCCTCGTCTCCATTGCGCGCCCCACCCTTCTCCACCCAACCCAACCACCCTTTTGCTGCAGATTACCAAAACCCATCAGGAGTGGTGGTTCACGGCCCGGGATGCTCTGCCTGCCTGAGGGGGCAGCGCTGCTCCTTCCTCGTCTCCATCCGCGCGCCCCACCCTTCTCCACCCAACCCAACCACCCTTTTGCTGCAGATTACCAAAACCCATCAGGAGTGGTGGTTCACGGCCCGGGATGCTCCGCCTGCCTGCGGGGGCAGCGCTGCGCCTTCCTCGTCTCCATTGCGCGCCCCACCCTTCTCCACCCAACCCAACCACCCTTTTGCTGCAGATTACCAAAACCCATCAGGAGTGGTGGTTCACGGCCCGGGATGCTCTGCCTGCCTGAGGGGGCAGCGCTGCTCCTTCGTCGTCTCCATCCGCGCGCCCGCCCACTGGATGCCTTCCCTCCCTCTCCCTTATCCCTCCCTCCAAACCCCCCCTGAAGCACAGACTACCAGTCCCCATCAGGGGTGGTGATTCACGGCCGCGGCTGCTCTGAATGCCTGCGGGGGCAGCGCTGCTCCTTCCTCGTCTCCATCCGCGCGCCCGCCCACTGGATAGCGCCGGAGCAAACAGACAAGGGCAGCAAGCACACGTGGTGGCAGCGGGATCTCTCTCTGCTGCTGCGCGGGCCAGCGCTCGCCCATGGGGACGTGCGGTGCCTTGATCCCCCTGGGTGCTTGGAGCTGAGTGTCTCATACCGCGTGTGGGACATTGGGGAATACTGGTGAGTGAGAAATGCCTAGGGCAGCAGCGCAGGGGAGAGGGATCTCTCTCTGTGGGACATTGGAGAATACTGGTGAGTTGAGTAGCAGTGCTGCTGCTGGCTGGCTGGTGGCAGCGGGATCTCTCTCTGTGGGACATTGGAGAATACTGGTGAGTTGAGTAGCAGTGCTGCTGCTGGCTGGCTGGTGGCAGAGCGATCTCTCTCTGCTCCTCCGCGGCCCAGCGCTCGCCCACGGGGACGTGCGGTGCCTCGACCCTCCTCACTGCTTGGACTTATCCGTTTCCTACCGCGTGTGGGACATTGGGGAGTACTGGTGAGTGATACTAAGCGTGGGAGGATGAGCAGTGGGTAGTGAGAGGGAGAGGCAGCATCAGCAAGCACACGTGTGTGGGACAGGGATCTCTCGTTGCTCCTCTCAGCAGCAGTCTCTTGTATTACACCACCTGCACTCCACACACCGCAATGCGTAACTCGCCCACTCTCTTTTGAACCGAACTCAACCTCCTTCCCTCCCTCTCTTGCTTTTCTCTCTCCCGTTCTCTCCTCAGGGCAACTCTGAACGTCGGCTGTGCCAACCTCAATTTCTCAGCAGCTTCCTTGCATCATCTGCACTCCACTCAGCAAAACACACTCACTTCCTGGCCAATCACCATCCATCCTCGCTCCCGAATCAAGTCCCCGAGCCTACCTGCCGAACCTTCGCACCGAGCCTCTGGTGCTCCAAACCTGGGCCCCAGGCTCGGCAGCTCGCCTCTCCGAACCTCGTTGTTGGAGTCGCCACAGGCAGAGGGTGTCTTGTCCCGGGGATTGGAAGCAGAGAGGAATCTTCCTGAGAGCCCTTGTGCCGCGGCGTCTGTTCCTGGAAGATGGGTGAAGGAGGAAGGAGGAGAGGGATACAGGTGAGAAGTTTGAACTTGGATGAAGACACTTTACGTTCTTCTGCTTCCCTGTTCCCCCACTTCCCCCCTTGCAACCCCCACTCTCACCCCCCGTTCTTGCACCCCCCTTTCAGCCCCACACTCAGTCCCCGCTCTTCCATCCCTTCTGCCCTCCTCTTGTGCTACCCTCCTCTTCCTTCCATCCCCCCTCCCTCTCCAGTTGGGCATTCTTCCCCTGCTCACCTAAGGAGCTTCCTCCCTCTCAGTGGATCTCAGCCCTCGATCGCCGCGGCATCCGAGAGATCTCGATCGTCGGCGATTCGCATCAACGGTTCCTAGCAGCCCACCTGTTCTTCCTGCTCACGGGGGAAGACATGACAGAAATGGAGAAAGGGCGGACTGTTAGCGAGAATCGGGTGTACATCGCGCGAGATGAGATGAACAAAACTCTGAAGATCAACTTTTACTGGATTGCAGGAGTCTACAATGACTGGGAGTATGGCTGCAGGTGAGAGAATGCATTGCTCGATTTTTTTTTTTTTTTTTTTTCTCATTCGCACAATTACATGGCAGGTGAAATTTTAGTGCCATGCTGTATGGGTGAAGCTCGATGGACTAGTATGCTTGAAGGTGAGAGTAAGGATGAAAGGTAAGATGGCTGTTTGTGAGAGTAAAAGCCCGTCTTTGTTTTATCGAGATTTAATCCTTTGAGGTGTCTCGAAAGTCAAGCTTTGGTCCTTGGGACAAGGAAAGTGAAAAATCAAGAAGCTATTTTTCTTCTTCTTCTTCTTCCTCTTCTTTTTTTTTTTTAAGAAAGCGAAAAAAATGATTAAGAAGGTCGAATTTTGATTCTTGGGAGCTCCTTTTATTTCCTCCTCTTCACGTTCCCTCCTCCCCTCTACTCCCCCCTTCCCACCAGCCACCCACGCTCTCTCAAGCGCACTGGACCGTTCCCAACCATTTCACCCACCGCTGATGTCACTCTCTTCGAGGCTGGTTATTGGGCGGCCGTCTTTTGCCGAGAGCCTCTTAAAGCCCTGCGCACCCACCTGCAAAAATTCCTTGAGTGGGCTGTTTCCACAAGTACCCCCGGAAAAGGCAGGGTGGTTTTCCGCACTATCCCGCCTTTTCCTGTTGGCGGAGAGTGGTGTAACAGTTGGCATCCCGGGCCGAGTTCGAACCGAGCCGGCATGGCGATTAACGCTTTAATGAAGCACCTTGTAAGAGGTATGGACGGATATGAGCCTCAAGGGACAAGAGATAGGCAGGAAGCAGAGGCGGGCGGCTCGCGGGCTGAAAACCGCCGCACGCTCGGGGCGCGCGTCGGACAGGAAACCGACGCGCGCCCGAGGCGTGCGACGGGCAGGATCCGTCGCGCGCCAAGGGCGCGCGACGAGCAGGTTCTGTCGCGCGCCCGGGGCGCGTGACGTGCAGGAATCCGCCGCGCGCCCGGGGCGCGCGACGGGCAGGAAACCGTCGCGCGCCCAGAGCGCGCGGCGGGCAGAAAACCGTTGCGCGCCCGGGGCGCGCGGCGGGCAGAAAACGTCGCGGGCCCGGGGCGCGCGACAAGCAGGAAATCGCCACGCTCCCGGGGAGCGCGACTGGCAGGAAGTCAGCGGAAGCGATTGGTGGGCCCAACAGGATCGACCAGGGAGGTTCGACCTGCTTTGATAGCATGTTGAAACTAGGCAAGAAGAAGGAATGGAAGAAGGGGATTGTACTAGCAGGCAGGTGGAGTACATATAGGAAACCCTAAAAGGGTTGTACTCTCTATTGAGTACCCTACTACAGCCTATACAGCAAATAACATTTTGACATTTCCTCCATACACCACCATGCCAGCAGACCCCTACGTAGCACCAGCAGCACCTCAACAACCATCCCTTCCCCCCCCCCCCCCCATGAATAGCAATGTGTCTATCAAGCCACGGCCAGCCTGAGCACAAACACATCATCCAAGCGGTCGTTGCTCTCTGAGTTGCCTCCATACACCACCATGCCAGCAGACCTCTTAGCAGCACCAGAAGCACCTCAGCAACCATCCCTTCCCCTTCCCCCCCCATGAATAGCAATGTGTCTATCAAGCCACGGCCAGCCTGAGCACAAACACATAATCCAAGCAGTCGTTGCTCTCTGAGTTTCCTGTTGAAACTAGGCAAGAAGAAGGATTGGAAGAAGGGGATTGTACTAGCAGGCAGGTGGAGTACATATAGGAAACCCTAAAAGGGTTGTACTCTCTGTTGAGTACCCCACTGCAGCCTACACGGCAAATAACATTTTGACACACCCCCATAGGCGAAGTGGGGGATAGCCAACACAACAAGCAGTCGCAGGACCAGTTCACAAGCAAAGGCTAGTGGCAGAAACAGAGGGCAAGTGAGGAGGAGGAGGGACCATGAGAGGAGAGGAGGAGGTGGGCGGCCCCGGAAGCTGCTGGCACACGGCGCAAACCGGAGTAACTGGCTCTGCTCGCCGGCAAGAGCAACTGACCCACGGTCAACTGGAGCAAGTGGCACACGAGCAACTGGAGTAACTGGCTCTGCTCGACGGCAAGAGCAACCGACTCACGGGCCACTAGCACAACGATCTCACGGGCGACTGGAGCTGCGGACTTCACGGCGGCCACCCGACTTCAACATCCTCGCATTGTCCCGAACCCCCTTGCACACCCCTCGGCATCCCTAGCGCCACTCCCTCGTCTCCCCCACACCTTCCCCCCCCTTCAGCGGCAGCTGCAGCAGTGGGAGAGAGAGGAGGAGGAGCGCAGCTGATCACTCACGCCCGCCACCCCCATACCCTCCCCCCCACGGCTGCACGCGCAGCAGGGAGATGAAGGAGAAGGGGGGGGGGCCGGGGGGCGGGGAGGAGCTGCCCTGCGGCTGCAGAGGCAGGCGCGCGGGCTGCAGAGGCGGCTCGCAGGCTGCAGGGGCAGCGCACGGGCTGCAGGGGCGGCTCGCGGGCTGCAGGGGCAGTGCGCGGGCTGCAGGGGTGGCTCGCGGGCTGCAGGGGCGGCTCGCGGGCTGAAAACCGCCGCACGCTCGGGGCGTGCGTCGGACAGGAAACCGACGCGCGCCCGAGGCGTGCGACGGGCAGGAGCAGGTTCTGTCGCGCGCCCGGGGCGCGTGACGTGCAGGAATCCGCCGCGCGCCCGGGGCGCGCGACGGGCAGGAAACCGTCGCGAGCCCAGAGCGCGCGGCGGGCAGAAAACCGTTGCGCGCCCGGGGCGCGCGGCGGGCAGAAAACGTCGCGGGCCCGGGGCGCGCGACAAGCAGGAAATCGCCACGCTCCCGGGGAGCGCGACTGGCAGGAAGTCAGCGGAAGCGATTGGTGGGCCCAACAGGATCGACCAGGGAGGTTCGACCTGCTCTGATAGCATGTTGAAACTAGGCAAGAAGAAGGAATGGAAGAAGGGGATTGTACTAGCAGGCAGGTGGAGTACATATAGGAAACCCTAAAAAGGTTGTACTCTCTGTTGAGTACCCCACTACAGCCTACACAGCAAATAACATTTTGACATTTCCTCCATACACCACCATGCCAGCAGACCCCTACGCAGCACCAGCAGAACCTCAACAACCATCCCTTCCCCTCCCCCCCCCATGAATAGCAATGTGTCTATCAAGCCACGGCCAGCCTGAGCACATGCACATCATCCAAGCGGTCGTTGCTCACTGAGTTGCCTCCATACACCACCATGCCAGCAGACCTCTTAGCAGCACCAGAAGCACCTCAGCAACCATCCCTTCCCCTTCCCCCCCAATGAATAGCAATGTGTCTATCAAGCCACGGCCAGTCTGAGCACAAACACATCTTCCAAGCGGTCGTTGCTCTCTGAGTTGCCTCCATGCACCACCATGCCAGCAGACCTCTTAGCAGCACCAGCAGCAGCACTACCAGCAGCAGCAGCAGCAACAGCACCACTACCAGCAGCAGCACAGGGAATCCCTTTTTAAGCGACCGTCAGCCGGAGCACAAACACGTCATCTAAGCGGTCGTTGCTCTCTGAGTTCCCACCGCATACCACCATGCCAGCAGCCAGAGGAGCAACAGGGAACCAGCCACGGGCGCCCGGATCCCCGCCAGAAGAGACGAGCGACGCCGCCTGGAGCCACTTCCTTTCCTCCACGTCCAATAGGAAGAGGTCTTTCGAGAATTTCCCTGCGCCCAAATGACCTAAATCTGATGGGTCCACCTCTCCCCCATACACCACTATGTACTCCTTACAAGCAGACTCGTCAGCAGCAGGGAGGGAGACGGTCACCGCACCAAAAACACTCCTTGGGATAGGCTTAACCACAGATTCTCTTGCTTCTTCGTCCCCTTTATTAGCATCCACGCTACCAGCGGCATCCGCACCAGCAGCAGCAGCAGGAGGAAATTGCACCTCCTCCCAAATCTCCTTCCCTAGATCGAACCTATGCACGTCCCCAAGCTCATGCTCGCCGGAAAACCCAAACAGCACCCACACTGCGTCCCCTGCAACAGCCAGCCCTGGCCCTCCCCGAGGCACACAGGAACTGGAAGGGGGAGGGGAGGGGAGCTGCTTCCATGCGGTGAGTGGTGGTGTGGGGAAGAGAGAGACGTTGTGTGTGGGAGTGGTAGTGGGAGCGACAGAGGTCCCAGCAGGGTAGGCCCAGAGGTCGTTGAATCGGCCGGTGGTGCCACAGCCGCCGAAGATGTAGATTTGGGAGCGATGGGGGTCCGCTGCCATGGTGTGGTAGCTCCTGGGGGGACAGAGCGGGTGTGAGGGTATTAGTGAGAGGGTGAAAGTGAGCATACAGCCGCCGGAGATGTAGATTTGGGTGCGATGGGGGTCCGCTGCCATGGTGTGGTAGCTCCTGGGGGGACAGAGTGGGTGTGAGGGTATTAGTGAGAGGGTGAAAGTGAGCATACAGCCGCCGGAGATGTAGATTTGGGTGCGATGGGGGTCCGCTGCCATGGTGTGGTAGCTCCTGGGGGGACAGAGTGGGTGTGAGGGTATTAGTGAGAGGGTGAAAGTGAGCATACAGCCGCCGGAGATGTAGATTTGGGTGCGATGGGGGTCCGCTGCCATGGTGTGGTAGCTCCTGGGGGGACAGAGTGGGTGTGAGGGTATTAGTGAGAGGGTGAAAGTGAGCATACAGCCGCCGGAGATGTAGATTTGGGTGCGATGGGGGTCCGCTGCCATGGTGTGGTAGCTCCTGGGGGGACAGAGTGGGTGTGAGGGTATTAGTGAGAGGGTGAAAGTGAGCATACAGCCGCCGGAGATGTAGATTTGGGTGCGATGGGGGTCCGCTGCCATGGTGTGGTAGCTCCTGGGGGGACAGAGTGGGTGTGAGGGTATTAGTGAGAGGGTGAAAGTGAGCATACAGCCGCCGGAGATGTAGATTTGGGTGCGATGGGGGTCCGCTGCCATGGTGTGGTAGCTCCTGGGGGGACAGAGTGGGTGTGAGGGTATTAGTGAGAGGGTGAAAGTGAGCATACAGCCGCCGGAGATGTAGATTTGGGTGCGATGGGGGTCCGCTGCCATGGTGTGGTAGCTCCTGGGGGGACAGAGTGGGTGTGAGGGTATTAGTGAGAGGGTGAAAGTGAGCATACAGCCGCCGGAGATGTAGATTTGGGTGCGATGGGGGTCCGCTGCCATGGTGTGGTAGCTCCTGGGGGGAGGTGTGAGGGTATTAGTGAGAGGGTGAAAGTGAGCATACAGCCGCCGGAGATGTAGATTTGGGTGCGATGGGGGTCCGCTGCCATGGTGTGGTAGCTCCTGGGGGGACAGAGTGGGTGTGAGGGTATTAGTGAGAGGGTGAAAGTGAGCATACAGCCGCCGGAGATGTAGATTTGGGTGCGATGGGGGTCCGCTGCCATGGTGTGGTAGCTCCTGGGGGGACAGAGTGGGTGTGAGGGTATTAGTGAGAGGGTGAAAGTGAGCATACAGCCGCCGGAGATGTAGATTTGGGTGCGATGGGGGTCCGCTGCCATGGTGTGGTAGCTCCTGGGGGGACAGAGTGGGTGTGAGGGTATTAGTGAGAGGGTGAAAGTGAGCATACAGCCGCCGGAGATGTAGATTTGGGTGCGATGGGGGTCCGCTGCCATGGTGTGGTAGCTCCTGGGGGGGAAAGGGATGGAGGGAAGGGAAGTGGTGCCTTTGGGTGTACACTAGGGTGTGAGTGGTGCCACAGCCGCCGAAGATGTAGATGTTGGTACGATGGGTGTCTGCTGCCATGGTGTGGTAGCTCCTGGGAGGAAAGGAATGGGGGGTTGAAGGAGTGGGTGTGAGTGAGTGTAGCTGCGAGTGAGGGTGTAACAGTGGATCGCCCCGAAGATGTAGATTTGCCTGCGATGGGGATCTGCTGCCATGGTATGATAGCTCCTGGGAGGAAAGAGGTGGGGAGAGAGGGGGGGTGGGAGGTGGTATGTTGTGAAGGAGTGAATGGTGCCTCGGCCGCCGAAGATGTAGAATTTGGGTGCGATGGGGGTCCGCTGCCATGGTGTGGTAGCTCCTGGGGGAATGGGGTGGGAGGGAGTGGGGAGTGGTGCTTGTGAGGATGGGTGTGAAGGAGTGAATGGAGGTACCACAGCCGCCAAAGATGTAGATTTGGGCGCGATGGGGATCCACTGCCATGGTGTGGTAGCTCCTGGGAGGAAAGAGATGGGCAGAAACGAGGGAGTGAGAGGGAGTGAGTGATGGCAGTCGTGTGTGTGGGAGTGGGAGTGGGAGCGACTGGGTAGGCCCAGAGGTCATTGAATCGACAGTAGGTGGCAGAGCCCACTTGTAACTTCATCAACAGAGAACTTTTGAGACGTCTCAAAAGAAGACAGGAGGTGGCAGAGCCCACTTGTAACTTCATCAACAGAGAACTTTTGAGACGTCTCAAAAGAAGACAGGAGGTGGCAGAGCCCACTTGTAACTTCATCAACAGAAAACAAGTCACTCGGCTTGTTCTTGTCACCTATCCCTATCCCCCTCCCTTAACAACCCCCTCCCATCACTCACCTGCTAGGGGGGACTTCTCCCCAGTGGTCAGCAGCCTCCACTCCCCCGTGAACTAATGAGGACAATTCAAGTCATTCGGCTCCTTCTTATCATCCCTCCCCACGCTACCCACTCTCTCCCCGCAACCTACCCCCCTCCCAGCACTCACCTGCCAGGGGGGATTTCTCCCCAGTGGTCAGCAGCCTCCACTCCCCCGTGACTGTATCGAAGGAATAAAAGTCGCTCAGGTCGATATTATCACACAAGCACAAGTGAATGCACGTCCCCGTGACTGAATCTACGGAGTAAGTATCTCTCAGCTCGTTATTGTCACCCCACCCGTGCTATCCACCTCTCTCCCCGCATCTTTCCCCCCACACCCAAGCCCCCTCGCATCACTCACCTGCCAGGGGGGGATTTCTCCCCAGTGGTCAGCAGCCTCCACTCCCCCGTGACTGTATCAACAGAATACAAGTTACTCAGCTCACCTTTGTTAACCCACTCTATCCCCCTCCCCCACACACACCTGCCAGGGGGGGGATTTCTCCCTAGTGGTCAGCAGCCTCCACTGCCCCGTGAGTCGCCTCAACAGGCATGCAGCTGGTTCTTATCAATCCACCCTTCGCCCCATGTCCTCCCATCCCAGCACTCACCTGCCAGGGGGGGATTTCTCCCCAGTGGTCAACAGCCGCCACTCGCACGTGACTGTATCAACAGAATACAAGTTACTCAGCTCACCTTTGTTAACCCACTCTATCCCCCTCCCCCACACACACCTGCCAGGGGGGGATTTCTCCCCAGTGGTCAGCAGCCTCCACTCCCCCGTGACTGTATCGAAGGAGTAAAAGTCGCTCAGCTCGTTCTTGTCACCGTCCCGCCCACCAAACACGTACAGAGTTGACCCCAGTGCCACCATGGTAATGCCAATTCGGGGGGCTGGTGGGGGGTTCAGGGCGAAGGGGGCAGCAGGGTATTCAGATGGTCGAGTTGAGTTGTTCTCGTCACCGTCTCTCCCACCAAACACGTACAGAGTCGACCCCAGCGCCACCATGGTGATGCCGATGCGGGGGGCTGGTTGGGGTGGGGTGGGGTGGGGAAGGAGGTGTGTGAGGGGCATGGGATGGATGGAGAAGAATGGAGTGACTTAGATCGTTCTTGTCACCGCCTCTCCCACCAAACACTTGTGAACGAAGAGGGAGCGTGGACCCCAGAGCCACCATCGTGATGCCAATGCGGGGGCCTGGTGGGGGGGGGCAAGGGGATGGGGGCAGCAGGGTATTCAGATGGTCGAGTTGAGTTGTTCTTGTCACCGTCACGCCCACCAAACACGTACAGGGTCGACCCCAGTGCTACCATCGTGATGCCGATGCGGGGGGCTGGTGGGGGGGTTCAGGGGCATGGGAGTAATAGAGCATTTACAGGGGATGAGCAGAAAGGGGTGCGTCAGCTCGTTCGTGTCACCGTCACGCCCGCCAAACAAGGTGACTTTTGAGTCGACTCAAGAGTCAGCTCGTTCGTGTCACCGTCACGCCCGCCAAACACGTACAGGGTCCACCCCAGAGGCAGCATCGTGATACCGATGCGGGGAGCTGGTGGGGATGGGTTCAGGGGCATGGGAGGATGGAGGAGAAGAAAGGAGTCTCGGGCTCGTTCTTGTCACCGCCTCTCCCAAACACGTACAGGGTCGACCCCAGAGCCACCATCGTAATGCCGATGCGGGGGGCTGGTTGGGGTGGTGGGGGTGGGGGGGGGTGTGGGGGCATGTGACAGAGGGATTGAATGGAGACGCTCAGCTCGTTCTTGTCACCATCTCTCCCGCCAAGCACGTTCAGGACCGACCCCAGAGCCACCATCGTAATGCCGATGCGGGGGGCTGGTGGAGGGGTAGAGATCATCAGAGGCAGCGGGGTATTTAGATGGGATGAGAAGAAAGGAGTCTCGGCTCATACTTGTCACTGCCTCTCCCTCCAAACACGTACAGGGTCAACCCCAGACATCACCTTGCAGGCACAGGCAGACATCACCTTGCAGGCACAGGCAGACATCACCTTGCAGGCACAGGCAGACATCACCTTGCAGGCACAGGCAGACATCACCTTGCAGGCACAGGCAGACATCACCTTGCAGGCACAGGCAGACATCACCTTGCAGGCACAGGCAGACATCGCCTTGCAGGCACAGGCAGACATCACCTTGCAGGCACAGGCAGACATCACCTTGCAGGCACAGGGATGCATCAATGTACGCACATGGGATGTCGCCAGAAGCAACAGCGACGGTCCACTCGCGGGTGTTGAGATCCATCACATGCACGGCGTTGCTAATGAGCACTCGCAGCTCAAACTCTCGGAGAGATGCCAGCACTACAAGATGCGCCTTTTGAGTCGACTGAAAAGTGAGACTCTAAGGCGGATGCCAGCAGTATAAGGACGCAGATGCATCGTCATACGCACATGGGATGTCACCAGAGGCAGCAGCGATGGTCCATTCCCGGGTGGTCAGATCCATCGCATGCACGTCGTTGCCGATGGGCACGCGCGGTTCAAACTCCCCACTGAGGATACTATACGCACAAACACAGAGACACACGCATGCATCACCGTACGTACATGGGATGTCACCAGATGCTTCAGCGATGGATCACTCGCGGGTGGTCAGATCCATCACATGCACGTCGTTGCCAATCGGCACTCACAGCTCAAATCAAACCCCCAGAGAGATGCCAGAGCTATACAGACAGACAGGCACAGGGACGCATCACCACCGTACGCACATGGGATGTCACCAGAAGAGGGAGCAATGGACCACTCCCGGGTGGTCAGATCCATCACATGCACGTCGTTGCCAATCGGCACTCACGGCTCAAATCAAACCCCCAGAGAGATGCCAGAGCTATACAGACAGACAGGCACAGGGACGCATCACCACCGGACGCACATGGGATGTCACCAGAAGAGGGAGCAATGGACCACTCCCGGGTGGTCAGGTCCATCACATGCACGTCGTTGCCGATGGGCACTCGCGGCTCAAACTCCCCACCGAACACAAACATTTTGCTCCCCACCACCGCTATGGCGTGTGAGCTGCGCGCTTTAGGCTCTCCCTCTCGCTGGGTGATCTGTGGAGCGGGATATTGGGGGGCGACGGGGGAGGGGAGAGGGAGGGTGGGGCGGAAGGATGTTGGGGGAATGGGGAGAGAGGGGAGGTCACCCCCCCCCCCCGAACACAAACATCATGTCGCCCACCACCGCTATGGCGTGCGAGCTGCGCGCTTTAGGCGCTCCCTCGCGTTGCGTGATCTGCGGATGGGGAATGTTGGGATGTCACCGGGGGGGATGGAATAGGAAGGAGGGGGGGGTCAAACTCCCCTCCAAACACAAGCATCTGTTCCCCACCACCGCTATGGGGTGCGAGCTGCGCGCCTTGGGCTCTCCCTCGCGCTGGGTGATCTGCGGAGTGTTGGGTGATATGTTGGGGGAATGTGGGGAGAGGGGAGGTTAACACAACCACCCCTCCCCCAACACCGAGCACAAACATCTTGTTCCCGACGACTGCTATGGCGTGCGAGCTGCGCGCCTTTGGCTCACTCTCGCGCTGCGTGATCTGTGCAGTGGGACGTTGGGGGGCGGTGGGGGGGGGAAATGGGGAGAGAGGGGAGGTCAAACTCCCCACCGAACACAAACATCTTGTCGCCCACCACGGCTATCGCGTGCGAGCTGCGCGCCTTGGGCGCTCCCTGACGTTGTGTGATCTGCGGAGTGGGACGTTGGGGGGGCGATGGGAGGGAATGGGATGCTGGGGTTTGAAGAGAGAGGGTAGGTCAAGCTCCCCCCCCCCCCCCCCCCCTCCCAATACAAACATCTTGTTCCCCACCACCGCTATCGCGGCGAGCTGCGCGCTTTAGGCGCTCCCACTCGCTGTGTGACCTGGGGAGTGGGACGTGCGGGAGAGGAACGGAACAGGTTTGGATTTCCAACTTCTTTTCACAGACGATCGTGCTGCCAAGTACGGCGATGGCGTGCGATCTGCAAGACTTGAGTAGCCACTACGCGTACGGAGATAGTAGGGACGCGAGAGCTAACGAGTATATACAGAGTAAATCAGGAGGAAAATGGAATTTGATGTGAAATAACAGCCTGATAGCGGTGCGACATCTCCAAACTGCTTCTGCAGGATAAGTTCTGGCGGACTGGTTAGCTACTAAGCGGCTTACAGTTCGAGACTACTACTAGCAGGTGCAAAATCGCGAACTTTATACCCCCAATGCAACGTCAAGCAGGTGACTGCATTGCTTCGGCGTGCAATGTCTAATACAATGGATGCGATGTCCTCACCTCCTGCCATGCTGCCTCGATACGAGCCATGGAGGATCGCCGCAGCGAAGCTGAATGAATTTTGAGACGACATTTCAAAAGTCGTGCAATTTTAAGTGCAATGGATTTGGGATGTCCTCACCTCCTGCCATGATGCGTCAATGCGAGCCATGGAGGATCGCTGCAGCAAAGCTGAATGAAGGCTGATCGGCTCTTGCTTCAAACACAGCTTCAAAGAGAATCGTTGCAGCGTCGTTCTAGAATAACCTTAGGGAGTATGCACGAGCGTTTTCCGCGTGCAATAAAAATTGTGCACACGTCACTGCATGATACTCCCTTCAAGGAATCCCATCAGGCTGATCAAATAAGAAGATGTGTGTGAATGTTGACTTGGGAGGGGCAATCCCAAGGGAAAGGAATCCGTTGAGGGGAAGGCAAAATCCTCGCTTGCTGTAAAAGCTTGGCTGAAAATCCTGGGGGAGGAAGGTGAATTCGCGATTGTTCTCTTCTCACCCGTGTCGCGATGGTCGGTGGCGAGACGAGGTGAACAGATACACGTTTTAGCATATTACCTCGTTATAGGGCGGATATCACGGTAAGCTGGTATTTACATGTAACTGAAGCATACTCCCGTCCAGTTAGACATTGCCATGACTCTTACATCCTTCGCCATGACTCTGGAACATGGCTAGGTAAAAATCCATCTCTACCGTGCCATAAAACTTTCAGGGTTACAGGTAAGGTGATGCACGTGAATACAACGAGAAGCTAAGTAGTACACTAGAATCATGGTTCCTCCTATCTCAACTTTCTGGTTTTGAATAAACTGGGTGCCTCGCACTGCAAATAAGCTGTCCGACCCAGAGTAGCTGGTGAGGGACAGAAACTCCACCCCCTTTGTTATGGACAAGTGGTAGCAGCAGCTTGTGCAGACTTTGTATTTTTAACAATCTACAGAAGGCTTACAGTGGGGTGTAGCATCATGACATTACTGTCAATTTAGGGTATACATAACAAAGCAAAATGGAAACAGAATGGTGTCTAGTAGGTCTCCACGTTCCACTGCTCGCTCTTCTTCAATTGCTTCTTGTACTCTAGCCAGTTGATGCCTGCACAGGTAACAATAGTGTCAGAACGTGGACACAGGGAGAGTATACTCTGCCACTTAAAAGAGGACAAAAAAACTTATGTTCGAAGAGGTAACTTACCATCCTTCTCTGCCAGGGAGGTCATGATGTCATCAATACCCTTCTCCATGCCCTTGAGTCCGCACATGTAGGTGTAGGTGTTATCCTTCTTGAACAGGCCCCACAACTCGTTGGCATACTCAGCCATGCGTGTCTGAATGTACATCTTCTCGCCCTTGGCGTTGGTCTGCTCGCGGCTGACAGCGAAGTCCAAGCGGAAGTTCTTGGGGAACTTCTCCTTCATCTTCTCAAACTCCTCGCGGTAGAGAAGAGAGCTGCTGGTCGGCACACCAAGGAACAGCCACGCGAGACCGTTGAACTGCACATTAACAAAGTCATCGCGTCAGATTCACGGCCATACCTGTTCCATCTGAACCCTACGTACGGCTGTATCAAAAGGTACTGCCATGTTTTCCAGTTCTGGAATATATTCGCGGAAACGCATGCTAGTGGTTCACATGGTACTAGACAATACCTTGTAGTCGTCGTGCTTCTCGAAGAACATGCGCCACAAGAAGCTGCGGAAGGGAGCAATGCCAGTACCAGTTCCAAGCTGCATGGTACGGAAACAGATACCAACAGCAAACACGAAACAAGAATTTGAAATTTGAGCAAAAAATCCAGCAAATGGCGGCCAATGAAAGCATGTCAAGACGTCCCAGCCACAGAAGCTTACATGCTATAACCGTTACAGTAACAATGAAGTGGGGAGATAATGGCGTACCAACGAAACAACGAAACAAGACGTACCATGATGATGGTGGCGTTCTGGTCAATGGGCATGAGCATCTCCTTGCCGACTGGGCCAGTCATCTTAACCTCATCTCCGGGCTTCAGGTCGCCTGCCATTGAAGTGAATCGGAGGCATCAGCATCTCAATAGCCCACTTCACGCCTTGCTACAGGTCTAGACCATTTTATGTATCAGACACTGAATAAAGACCGATGAACTGGAAAGTCGAGAATGTTGCAATGCATGGAATTGTATGAATGTAACGTACACAGGAAGTTTGAGCAGACACCCTTGACAGTCTCGCCCTTGTCGTTGACGTACACGAGACGCTTCACGCAAAGTGACACCTGAGAATATTTCACGGGGAAGTACAGTCGCGAAAAGTTTAGATACGATGCAGTTCCATCCCTGGACACCACTGCAGAGCAGGATATCCAGACACGACGAAATCCCGAGGCACATTTAAGAATACGATTCTCCAATGACGCACCGTCTTGTAGTCACCGAAGTCACCGGGGGCACTGCTGGCGATGGAGTACAGGCGGAGCTTCTCGGGGTTGCCCCTCTTGTCAAGACCGGGGGGAACAACGCCGATGGATTGACCTTCTCTGTAGGGGATCTTGCCTGCACAGAAGGAAGATTTCAATGAGAGGAGAGCACCACAGATAACTGAAGAATATTCGAGAAGTTGATGCAGCATTTCCGAGTGGAAACGGAGGGTCTACATTAGGAACAGGTACTATGACATTAACGGCTCGTGGTTGATGTAATGGGGACGCTATAACGCGGACGTACCCTCAGTGCTGAACACCATGTGCCAGGTCTCGCCGGGAGCGTCATCGCCGACAATCTTAGTGTTGAGCAGGCACCGGCCAGTGTAAGGCGTCTTGGGCTTGTACAGGTTAACCTGAACTCCCTCCTCGTTCTTGCGGTGCTCCTTCTTCTTGGGAGCAGCGGCAGCAACGCTGGCGCGCACGGAGGTCTTAACAGGCTGAGCCACGCGGACAGCGGCCTTGCTCTCGAGGGAGGAGACGAGGGAGCTGCCGCTGAGGAAGCTGACCTGGTTGACCTTCTTGCTGACGGCTCCCTGAGCCGACAGCCCGACGGCGGGGGTTGCGATCGACATGGAGGTCATGGCGGCCATTGTGGTCAGAGAGGCACTTGAATGCAAGTAACCTCGAGAATGGCAACAATGGGAATGGTCAATCAGTCAGAGATTGACCTGAAAATGAGGTATTTGATGAGCTCAGAGAAAAGTCTCAGAGCGGAAACAGTTTAGTCAGGCGAACAGACTAGCTGAAACCTGATATGGTAGTTCCCGCTTGGTCCCTGATGATGTCGGAGTTGGTTCGGCGAATGTGAGAGAGGGGCTCAAGATTTGGCTCTGGTTCGGATAGAATGGTCGAGCAGGCTCGGCAGGTTCAGCTCGACAGCTGGGCAGGAAACACGACCACACAGCAGGCTTGGGTTTCGGATGCGGTCTGCGGCTGGCTTGAAGTGTTCCTAGGCGCTGGCTTGGGGATTGAGGGGTTTGGTTTGGTTGTTACCCGATACGCCACGGTGGCATTCTGTCTGAAGCTTTGGGATGATCGTAGCCGTACAACTTATAGTTCCCAGATGGGGGTTCATCTGTGGTGGTGGATGACGCATGTTCGCAGGCTCGGTGGACTAAGCTGTCCCCGCGTACACCGTAAATAATCCACGGGAGATTTAACCATATCTACGTGGCAAGGCAAGTGAGCGATCCAGCCACAACCGACCTGCAAACGTGGCAGTCGGCTCCTCAGCCACTCGCGTCCCACAAACGAGGTAACCAGATCTCTTCGGCAAAGTGGTTCTTGCGAGATGTCGAGACTTTCTAACAGCGAGGTACTGTAGTGAGAAATCTGCAAGATCGCAGCCATACGCGACGTAAACAGGTGCTACAAACAACGGGAGCTAAGATTCGTTAAATGTAAACGTGTTTTCTCCACTGTTGTGTTCACGTTCACAAGTTCTTGTACTGCTCTATCAGTTTTGAGGCATGGAGTCTAGAAGAGGGTTCAACAGTACATCCAAGTTGCTTCAGGTACGACAACTGCACAATTCGACGTTTTGGAGCACAATATATCAGTCAGCACACACTTACAACTTACGGATGCATTAATGTAAAAAGTAAAATGAAAACAAACCCTACTGACCTGCTTTGGTGTTGCTGCTGATTTATTCATAGCCTTTTCCGAATACTGCTGCTGGAACATTTCCTGCAGAAGCAACAGAAATACCGGTAAACCGCTATTAATCTCCCGACCATGAAATATTCATAACTACCACATTTGACTGATCAAAATGCACAACGAACGACTTTATGATTCCACCCACCCACCTGTCGCTCCACCCGGTGTAATGCTCTCTGCTCAAACGGAAGCTGCTCCCATGCTATAACCTGGAAGGTTCAGGAAAGCAGCACAAAACAAGAGTGTGATGTGATGGCACAGCAGCTGCAAATAATATAGGAAAAGAAAGAAGATGCCTTTTCCTTTTTGGAATGATATGGTATAAGGCTGTGAGCAACGATGTGAAAACATGGTGAAATTCTGCTGCAGAGGTTGAGTTATAACCACTTGAGAAAAAATAGCCTCTATTAAGTGGCCGTTGGATCAACGAGAGCGTCTTTGAAAAGTCTTACATGCGCTGCAAAGGAAGCAGCTTGTGTGGAGGACAGGAGTGGTCGCAGCAGTCTTAAGGCCTCCTTGCCACCAGCTGATCTCGCCGCTCCACTGCTCTGCCTGCTATCCACCACTGCCCTCACCTGTTCCCAGTCAGGAGCACGTTGGGAAAAGGGGGAGATGTGGGCGGAGTGGGAGGGAGGGAGGGAGGGAGATGATGGGTGAGAGGAAGAGTGTTATGAGGTGCCTCTAAACAATACTGCTCTGCCTTCTGCCCTCCCTGCCCTCACCTGTTCATAATCAGGAGCACCTCCCCACTGGCCACCTTGCCCAATCACCCTAAACGAGAAGGCAGGGCAGCGGGGCTAGGAATGAAAGATACATGCTATTCTGTTTTGAGATGCCCCAAAACAAATGACCCCCTTCCTGATTAGTACCTACCAGGCTGTCCCAATAGCCAACTTCCCAATCCCCACTGATCACATTAGCGCAAAGACGTGATGGCTGCTGAAAGGCAGGGCGGCGTGCCCAGGTGCCCCATGCCCACCCATGAAAGGCATTGTCAACTGGTCATTATGCCCAACCAATGATATCACCCTGCACGATAACTACCCTGTTGTACTATTCATTCTCCCAGTTATTACCTTGGCGAGAAGGCGTGATGGCTGTTGAAAGGCAGGGCGGCGGGCCCACGAGTGGAAGATTGCTGCTATGCTCGCACGGTGATCCGTGGGGAAGCTGGGGCGGGGGGTTAGGGGTGAAAGGAAGACCGGGTGACGTGAGCAATGATGCTGAAAGGCAGGGCGTGAAAAGCTGGGCGGCGGGTCCAGGAGTGGAAGAAGCTGAGGAAGGGGGAAGGAAGACGAGATGAGTGAAAGGTTGCAGTAGAAGTGGTTAGGGAAACAGAGAGAGAGGTGATGCTGGAAGGCAGGGCGGCGCGCCCAGGAAGGGAAGATTGCTGCTATGCTCGCTCGGTGGTCCGTGGGGAAGCTGGGGGAGAGGGGGGGGGGGAACAGGATGAAGTGAGAGATTGCTGAAAGGCAAGGCCGCGTGTCCAGGAGTGGAAGATTGCTGCTATGCTCGCTCGGTGATCCGTGGGGAAGCTAGGAGTGGGGTGGGGATGAGTGAAATGAGAGGTAGCTGTAGAATAGGGGAGGGAAACAGAGAGGGAGGTGGTGTTGAGAGGCAGGGCGGCGGGCCCAGGAGTGGAAGATTCCTGCTATGCTCGCTCGGTGCTCTGTGGGGGAGCTGGGGGGGTGACACCGTGACATTTAAAAAGGTTGTGCGGGAGGAGGAAGAGGGAAATAGAGAGGAGGGTATTGTTGGAAGCAAGGGAACAGATTCCTGCCTATGCATGTACTTTGCTGCCCCGGCAAGTGGCACGCTAGCGTCGAGATTTTTTTGACAATTCTAAAAAAAAACCTGCAGAAATAGAGAGGAGAGTATTGTTGGAAGCAAGGGAACTGATTCCTGCCTATGCAGCAAAGTACTTTGCTGCCCCGGCAAGCGGCAAGCTAGCGTCGAATTTTCTGAAAGTTTTCGCGTTGAATGTAATGACGCTGGCATCAATGATGCTCAACGCGTCAATCTCCACAACATAGGTTTTACCTCTTGAGGAAATCGCCAGTTGGAAGCACTCCCTCACTCAGGGTCTCCTCCTCCCCACCACCAACACCCTTCATCTCTCCTTCTCCCTCCCCTCCTTCCCCCTCCCCTCCTTCCCCCTCCCCCCCTTCCTCCTCCCCCTCCTCCTCTTCCTGCATCCCCTCCCCTTCCCCTACACCAATTACTACCCCAGGACCAAGATCTCGAGTTGCGACCCCTGCCCCTCGCTGCTCATTCCCTCCATCAGGGTGTGATACAGCAGGGGTGCGAGGTCGGGCAGAGGCAGGGGAGGCGACCGGGGCTGTGATGGGCGTATGGCCTTGCCAGAGCAGCAGATCTGAGGGGATCTCCCGGATGAACCGAGACGGCTGGAGAACCTGGTGGGGTGCAGTTGGGGACGAAAGGGAAACAGAAGGGGAAAGGGAAGGGCGGAAGGAATTCAGTAGAGGGCCATTCCAGAGGAGAGCAACAGTTTGTGCTGATGCGCTTGGGTTGGCTGTGATGGGTGCATGGCCTTGCCAGAGCAGCAGATCCGAGGGGATCTCCTAAATGAACCGAGAGGGCTGGAGAACCTGGTGGTGAGTAAATGTGGACGAGAGAGGAGAGGAGAGAGGAGGGGAGGAGGACAGAGAAGTGCTGACGCACTGAAATGGGCTGTGATGGGTGCGTGGCCTTGCCAGAGCAGCAGATCCGAGGGGATTTTTCGGATGAATCGAGAGGGCTGGAGAACCTGGTGGGGTGCTTGGGGAGGAGGGGGGAGAGAGGAGGGGGGAGAGAGGAGGGTGGAGAGAGGAGGGGGGAGGAGTGCTGATGCATTGGGGTGGGCTGTGATGGGTGTGTGGCCTTGCCAAAGCAGTAGATCAGAGGGGATTTACCAAAGGAAGAGAGAGGGGAGGGGTGAGGGGAGAGGGGAGAGGAAAGAGGAGAGAAGAGTGAGCAGGAAGTGAAAGAGATAAGAGTTTCAACCTCCTCACCTGGTGCTCTCACCTGCCTCACCTGCTTCTCAGGTGTCTGTCTGAGGGTCACAATGACCAATCGGTGGCAGGCACGTGTCCCACCTTTCAGGTGCTGCTTCAGGTGCCTCGACGCTCCTCTCAGCCGCCTCACCTGCTTCTCAGGTGTCTGTCTGAGGGTCGCAATGACCAATCGGTGGTGAGTACATGTCGTGGCCATATAGAAAAGTCTTCCTGTTCCGAGAGTAAATGAGCAGGTGATATTGTGCTGCTGTTCAGGTTCCTTCTCACCCAGCCCTTCAGGTGCTTCTTCAGGTGCCTCACCTGCTTTTCAGGTGTCTGCCTGAGGGCCACAATAACCAATCGGTGGCGAGCTCGTGTCATGGCCACATAGAACAGCCGCCTCTCCTCCTGCTTCCAGAGTGAAGGAGTGAGAAACACGAAGAAATAAATGACATACACGAGTGAACGCAGTCTCAGAGTCATGAAGGAGAGCAGAAGCATGTGCAGTCGCGTTTGCAAAGAACAACAGTCACTAAGAAATAAAAATCGTAACTCAGAGAAGAAAGTGAATTCTTATACTGCTGCCTTTCTCCATGCCCATTAACCCTTGGCCTGTGTGGCTAACCATTTCTGAGGCGCCTAATAAATTGTTCCCTCGCCCAGTGTCACACGTACATTCACTGTGAAGCCCTCTCACCTCCAGTGAAGGAGGTTCTTCGTCTGATCCCTCCCCGCCCACCCTCCCCGATTTTCGAGTTGACTAAAAAACGATTATGATCTGAACCTCCAGTGTTAAACCGACTCACTCACCTCTAGTGAAAGAGGTTCTTCCTCTGACCCTTCCCCGCTCGTCCTCCCCACACTCCCCCTCTCCACACTCCCACCCCTCTCCTCCTCGAATCTGTTTTGCAGCGGCGTCTCCCCCTCGTTTGCGCTCACAATGAACACCGTGTGCCACTCCAGGCCTTTGGACTGGCGGGGGTGAGGGGGAGGGTTGAACGAAAGGAGGGGCTTATGAGGAGTAACATTCAGGCATTGGGGAGAGTAGGAGGCGTCTCCTCCTCGCTGGCGCTCACAATGAACACCGTGTGCCACTCCAGGCCTTTGGACTGGCGGGGGTGAGGGGGAGGGTTGAACGAAAGGAGGGGCTTATGAGGAGTAACATTCAGGCATTGGGGAGAGTAGGAGGCGTCTCCTCCTCGCTGGAGCTCACAATGAACACCGTGTGCCACTCCAGGCCTTTGGACTGGCGGGGGTGAGGGGGAGGGTTGAACGAAAGGAGGCTTATGAGGAGTAACATTCAGGCATTGGGGAGAGTAGGAGGCGTCTCCTCCTCGCTGGCGCTCACAATGAACACCGTGTGCCACTCCAGGCCTTTGGACTGGCGGGGGTGAGGGGGAGGGTTGAACGAAAGGAGGGGCTTATGAGGAGTAACATTCAGGCATTGGGGAGAGTAGGAGGCATCTCCTCCTCGCTGGCGCTCACAATGAACACCGTGTGCCACTCCAGACCCTTGGACTGAGGAGAGGGGTGAGTTGAATGAGAGGAAGGGGTAATGAGGAGTGATGTTCAGGTACTGGGGAGAGTTGGAGGCGTCTCCCCCTCGTTGGCGCTCACAATGAACACTGTGTGCCACTCCAGGCCTTTGGACTGGCGGGGGTGAGGGGGAGGGTTGAACGAAAGGAGGGGCTTACGAGGAGTAACATTCAGGCATTGGGGAGAGTAGGAGGCGTCTCCTCCTCGCTGGCGCTCACAATGAACACCGTGTGCCACTCCAGGCCTTTGGACTGGCGGGGGTGAGGGGGAGGGTTGAACGAAAGGAGGGGCTTATGAGGAGTAACATTCAGGCATTGGGGAGAGTAGGAGGCGTCTCCTCCTCGCTGGCGCTCACAATGAACACCGTGTGCCACTCCAGACCCTTGGACTGAGGAGAGGGGTGAGTTGAATGAGAGGAAGGGGTAATGAGGAGTGATGTTCAGGTACTGGGGAGAGTTGGAGGCGTCTCCCCCTCGTTGGCGCTCACAATGAACACCGTGTGCCACTCCAGGCCCTTGGACTGGGGTTTAGGTTTGAGTTGAAAGAGGGTTAAGGGAGGGGAGGTTAAAGAGAAGTGATATTCAGGTATTTGTGGGGCTGGAGGGCGTCTCCCCCTCGTTGGCACTCACGATGAACACAGTGTGCCACTCCAGGCCCTTCGACTGGGGGGGGGGCAGGCAGGTTCAGGGGAATAACGGGGAAATAAAGACCATGATATTCAAGTATTGAGGAAAGGGTGACGCACCCGCCTCCTCGTTGGCGCTCACAACAAACATGAGTAACACTCCAGGCCCTTGGCCTGAGGAGAGGACTGAGGGGTGAAGTGAGGAAACAAAGGGATAAATATTCAGGTCTTGGGAAGAAATAAAGGGGGCTCTTTCCATTCTGGCGCTCACATCGACAGTGTGCATGTGGCCTCAGCTGTTCCGGTTTTTGAGGCGCCTCAAAATTCGTCTCAGTGTTAGCACAGGTCTGAAATGACAACAGTGTGCATGTGGTCTCAGCTGTTCCAAGAACTCATTTTTGAGTCGACTAAAAATAAGAACTCATGATCTGTTGGAGCATGTATGCGTTTCTGTTGGATTCACCTGGTGCGTTGTTCTCTGTTATAACCTGGCACACGAATATCTGACGAACCACCTGACAAATCACCTGATGCATGGTGGTGAGAGTGACCGAATCCTCATTCTCCTTCCTCCTCACGGCGTTGTTCTGAGCCTCTCTTGCCGCCACATAGTCCAGAAATTTCCGCAGCAAAGCAGCACAGGAGGAGGAGGAAGAGGAAGCGGAGGAGAAGAGAGAGGAGGGAAAGCAGCCGGTGGCAGCATCGGCAGCACAGGTGTTTCTGCAGGTGGTTTCATCGTTGGCGACGGTATCAGGTGGTTTGTGGGAGTGGAGGGAGAGGAATGTGCTGATGTCATCGATAAGAAATTTACGGGCCTGACAAGACCAGGGGTCGGGGAAGGGGGGGAAAGGGAGAGCGTGGGAAGGAAAGGGAGTGTAAGAGCACCATCAGTTTATCTAATGAAGGACTTTTCGAGGGAGAGGAGGAATGGTGGGATGCATGAGTGTTGTTTTGAGACGACACTTTATCACGACACTTTGAGTCTCAAAACAACACAACACTTTTATCACGTGGCTATTCTAGTGAAGGCCTGTTCGAGGGAGAGGAGGAATGGTGGGATGCATGAGTGTTGTTTTGAGACGACACTTTATCACGACACTTTGAGTCTCAAAACAACACAACACTTTTATCACGTGGCTATTCTAGTGAAGGCCTGTTCGAGGGAGAGGAGGAATGGTGGGATGCATGAGTGTTGTTTTGAGACGACACTTTATCACGACACTTTGAGTCTCAAAACAACACAACACTTTTATCACGTGGCTATTCTAGTGAAGGCCTGTTCGAGGGAGAGGAGGAATGGTGGGATGCATGAGTGGTGGAAGTGGAAGGTGTTACAAATGTGTAGAGGGTAACAACAAATCTGGAAACGGGGTCCCTGAATGTTGCAGAAGAGAAGCAACATTCAGATTAGACGTTTGCTCTTGAACTCTCAATACCTTGAGATCAGGTGGTTTCTGCGTTTATTCAAGAACCAAATGCTGTTGTCTGAGAACGGGCTGCTAATATATACATATATATATATAAGGACGCAGCAGAAAAAGCGGATCAGAGGCCCTATTTACTGAGACCTTTCAACCTACATTCATGATAGCAGGGGCAAGGCATTGAAAGGTTGCCATCATGCATTTGCATGCAGTATCAACAGATCGAAAGGAAAGGATGATAAACTACCCACTCACTGTGCGCATGTCATCGTCCTCGTTGAGAAGTTTCCCGGAGGTTTCGCTCACTGTTGCACGCGACGCGAATGCAGCTCTCTACAGCACGTGAACGGGAACGGTGGGGCAGCAGCATGGGTGGATGGGGGACGAAGGGGGAGGGGAAGAAAAACACAGCGGGAAAGAGGAGAGTAAGGGTGAAAGAGGAGCAGGAAATGGGAAGAGATAGAATTCAGAGGGGGAGGGGGGGGCTGGGGGGGTTGGGTGGTTGTGGGAGAGCGGGGAGAATGAGAAGACGGGAAGAGGGGAAAGAGAACGGAGGAAAGGAGAACAAACCAGGGCAGCACAAGGCACCAAAAAACAAAGAAAAACACTGTGCGACATCGTGGTTGCGCACCTCAGGAATGAGCTTGATGATGGAGTCTACAAGAGCTGTCAGTGACACCTCAGAGGTTACTTCTGAATCAACCTGGGAGTCACCTCTTTTGGCTGACTCAGTACTCATCTGCTCACCTCAGAATGAGCTTGCTGATGGGGCCTACAAAGCACATCAGTGACACTGTGCTTTGCTTTGATGTCAAAATATATTCATCTTGGCCCTGTTCGCCACGACCACGTGAATGCGAGGGGTGGGGGATGGGTGAGGGGATCTCGAAGGTGCGACGGAAGTTGCCAATTACGTCCGGGGGCTCGCCCCCCGTCTGAAATTTCGCCATGGGTTCGGGAAGGGGGACGAGGGGATGGAGCACCTCCCTCCCTCCTTCCTTTTAGGGGGCAAATCTCCCGTGCATGCCGTCACACACCCCCGAAAAGGGTGGTATGCACGAGGGTGCCACGAGGGAGGGGAGGGGATCCCCAGCTGGCAGGGCAGGAAACTGCCCTGCGCATTCGAGATCCCCCGCCCCACCCAAAAAAGGTGGGTGTTCGCCACGACAGCGAGCCCACCGAGGTTCGGAGGGGATCGTCAGGCTCGACAGGATTTTGTCGGTCTGACCGCCCCAAAACCCTGATTTCAGCCCTTCACGAAGGTGCAAGGGGGATTCCCGATCCCCTCCTCATCCCTTCGACGGCCCACAAAGGACGTGGCGAACAGGGCCCTTATTACTGCGACTTTGTGCTCACCTCACAAATGAGCTTGATGATGGATTCTACAAAACACATCAGTGACACCAACTAATGGACTTCTGATTCGACTCAAAGTCACCTAGAGTGGCATCGTGCGTGCTTGCTTACTTCAGGAATGAGCTTGATGATAGAGTCCACGAAGGACGTCAGTGACACTTCCTGATGGATGCATGGATGGATGGGATGGGTGGTGATGTGTGGGTGATGGGTGGGTGGTGGGTAGGAGGGCAATGGATAGGTTGACGAACGGCATTGAGCTTGATGGTAGAATCTAGGAAGGCCGCAGTGACACCTCCTGATGGGTGATGGGTGGGTGGGTGATGGGTGGGTGGGTGATGGATGGGTGGGGAATGCATAGGTGACATAGATGTCAGATTTGTGTTGACAAAGGGAAATGAGATTGACGAGGGAGTGGACAGTAGACGTCAGTGACGACATTTCCTACTGACGAGTGGGTGGGTGGGCGATGCATAAGGGGTGATGAACGGGGGATTTGTGGACAACGGTACTGTGAGCTTGATAATGGAGTGGACAAAAGACGTCTGTGACACCTCCTGATGGATGCATGGGGGGGTGGGCATGGAATCACTGGCTTGAATCGTCTTAAAACGCAGCAGCGGAGCAGTGACAAGCGCAGCAGCACAGCACTGACCGTTTTGAGGAGATTGCGAGCGATGCGGACAGTGGTGAGGACAGAGGCACCAGCTTTGAGTTGCTTCCTGAAATGGACAGGGGGTTGATGCATGGAGAAACGTGCATAAATACAGGCAGGGCTACAGCCTACAGGAAGCAGGGGGGGAATGTATGGGCAGCAAGGCTGCCTGGGCCGTTCCTATCCCACCCCATCCCACCCCATCCCACCCCATCCCATCCCATCCCATCCCATCCCATCCCATCCCATCCCATCCCATCCCATCCCATCCCATAACCAGACACCCCACTCACTCACCTTGTGAACCTTCCTGACACTTTCCCTGAAAAAATGGTTTCTGCGGCTTCCAGGAAGCTGCAGCCTCGGTCCCGGGCCCTCTGCTCCACATGATCTGCAGCCTGTTGCGGGAATGGTTGGGGGGAACACGGAGCATGTGTAAGGTGGGGTGTGAGTGAGGCGACACAGGCTAAGGGGGGTTCAGGTGACAGCAAGTGACATGTTTTGAGGCGCCTGAAAAATGCAGCTGCGGGTCCGGGCCCTCTGCTCCACGTGATATGCAGCCTGTTGGGAGAATGGTTGGGCACGAGGCGATGGTGGGGAATGGTGGGGCGTGAGGCGACGCAGAGTAGGGGGGTTCAGGTGACAGTAAGTGACAGAAAAAGCGAGGTGAATTATGTGTTAGGGCATCGGAGGGTAGGGTGTTGGGTGGGTGGGGTAGAAAAGTCAAGACGGGAGCCTGCACAGGTTACCCCCAACCCAACCCCAATGATAGTTTCCCAAAACAGCCGGGGCCTTCTCAGAGGTGCGATACGCCTTCAAAATATTAAAAAAAGCGAGGAAATTCTCAGAGCATTTCACCTTTTTCGCCTCGTCCTTCTCTCGGCTGAACAGTAGCTTCCAGACCCTCCGGGCGGCAGTGTTGTCGATTAGTGCAGGGAGGGAGAGGCGCAGGAGAGCGAGCACATTGCGCAGGGCCTGGGGAAGGGGAGAGGGAGGGGAGGATGGAGGAAGGGCGAAAGGAAGCACACTTGGTTGGTATCGAGGGTGGATGCCTGTCCAGGGATTCGAGCTTGGGGTGTAGGGAGAGGGGCAGGAGAGCGAACACATTGCGGCAGAGGGCCTGGGGAAGGGGAGGATGGAGGAAAGTTGAGGGAGGGAGGAAGGACGAGGGGGAAGAGGGAAGCGCACTTGCACACATGAGCCCCTAACGTCACACTAGCGTACTCACCTTCGTGTATTGAGACATCTAAAACACGAGGGGCCGGAGAAGGGCACTTGCATACATGAACACCCAAGGTCACACTAGCATACTCACCTTCTTCCTGTAGAAAGCCACGCCATGCACGTTGAAGGGGATCTTCCTCTCCCTCATGGAGACCTGCCCTGCAGCACCCAGCCAGTTCCAGAGCCTGCCTGTGCTTGTCCCATACGCCTTGCAAACGCATCGCACCTTCTTCCTGTAGAATGCCACGCCATGCACGTTGAAGGGGATCTTCCTCTCCCGCATTGCAGCCTGGAACGGCCTGCCAGTCACCTGCCGCCGATACAGCACTGCCACATCACTCCACGCCAGGGGGACACCTGCTGCTGCTGCACTCCCAGCTGCACTGGCGCCTGCAGTGTTGCCTGCCGCACTGCCCCCTGCTGCCATACTCCCTGCTGCTGCGTTCCCTGCTGCAGAGCTGCTGCCAGTGGCACTGGTGTTGGTGGTGACGCCGGTGGTTGTGGTCGTGGTTGCAGTGGTGGTGTGCGGTTGTACGCGGTGCATTTGGTGCATGAAGGACATGATGGCATCTGCGACCAGGGCACACTGTGCTGCTTCGTTTCGCACCTCCACCACCCTGCCATGCACAGATGGATATGGATGGGTGGAGAACGGTGGGATGATGACCAGGGCGCACTGTGCTGCTTCGTTGCGCACCTCCACCACCCTGCCATGTGGAGAGAAGGGAGGAGGGAATAACGGCACACAGCCATGGAACACGGTGAAATTGGTGCATTTGGTACACGAGGGAAGTGGTTGCATCGGCGACCAGCGCAGCGCTGCTTCGTTGCGCACCTCCACCACCCTGCCATGTGGAAGGGGAAGGGAGAAGGGATTGATGGCTGAACGCGGTGCATTTGGTGCATGAAAGGCATGATAGCATCAGCGACCAGGGAGCACGCTTCGTTTCAAACCTCCACCACCCTGCCATGCACAGACGGACATGGATGGGTAGCAAACGGAGGGACGAGGGATGACGGAGGGACGAGGGATGACAAGAATTACGAGCATATGAGTCCTATGGCCACCGCTGTTCCCTTCTTGAATATCGATATGTGAACAGTACAACCCCTTTAAAAAACATCCTTACCCAATGCAAATGCCCTTTTCAGAACACTTGACCTTACCCACACAATACACCTCTCCCAATCCTTTCACTACTTTATTCCCACCTGATCTTCTCCCCATCGCCGTTGTCAGTGCACAGCTCCTTGGCCGCCCTCCTCCCTAAAAAGTTTTGAGACATCTCAAAACTCGACCTTTTCTTGAGGGCCCAAAGGGCTTTCCTTTCCCACCTGATCTTCTCCCCATCGCCGTTGTCAGTGCACAGCTCTTTGGCCGCCCTCCTTCCTGGAAAGTTCTGCGAGATGACGGCGGCCGAGGCCCGCACTATGGTGCCTGTGGAGCGATAGTTGCGACACAGACGCACCTGAGAAGGGGTGGAGGCAGTGTAAGGGGACGGTGGAAATTGGATGGGGAGAGAATGCAGTGCGTGGTGTTTGGTGCTGCTCAGATGCACATGTGATGCGCGCACTACTTGTGCACTCACCTAGCTGTGCTCTCACCTCAGTGTGGTCCGGGAACTGCTCTTGAAACATGTCAAACGAGGCTGCATTGGCGCCGTTGAAGTGAATATAGACTGCACAGGAACGCATGTGGTTGTACCTCCCTATGATCTCACCTAGCTATGCTCTCACCTCGCTGTGGTCAGGGAACTGCTCTCGGAACATGTCAAACGAGGCTGCACTGATTATTGAGTCAACTCCGATATTCACCCCACTGCTGCTCTCACCTCTGTGTGGTCGGGGAACTGCTCTCGGAACATGTCGAACGAGGCTGCATTGGCTCCATTGAAGCTGAATATGGACTGCACAGGAGCGCAGGGTGTGGGAGACGTTTGCCAACACGGCAACGAGGCACAGAAATGCGTGCGGATGGAACATGAGCACTCAGCACACTGCGAGGACGAGAACGAGGCTGCATTGGCTCCATTGAAGCTGAATATCGACTGCATGGGAACGCAGGGTGTGAGAGACGTTTGCCAACACGGCAAAGAGGCACAGAGGCGCATGTGGACAGAACATACTGTGAGGAAGAGGGCGAGGCACAGCTGTACACCACAGGAACGTAGGGTGTGCAACACGATTTCCCAACACCTCCCACCCCGACCTGGTCATTCCCCCATTCGTTTCATCTGGTCGTCATTCCCCTCACTCCCACCTGATCATCGTCCCCCACAACAGTGACGCACCCGTGGGTGCCACAGAGAGCCATGACGAACGCAAACTGGATGCGCGAGGTGTCGTGGAACTCGTCTGGGCTGAATCACCTACAATAGTCCCTCCCTGGGAAACCGGGAAACCGGGAAACCGGGAAACCGGGATACCGGGATACCGGGATACCGGGAAACCGGGAAACCGGGAAACCGGGAAACCGGGAAACCGGGAAACCGGGAAACCGGGAAACCGGGAAACCGGGAAACCGGGAAACCGGGAAACCGGGAAACCGGGAAACCGGGAAACCGGGAAACCGGGAAACCGGGAAACCGGGAAACCGGGAAACCGGGAAACCGGGAAACCGGGAAACCGGGATACCGGGATACCGGGATACCGGGATACCGGGATACCGGGATACCGGGATACCGGGATACCGGGAAACCGGGAAACCGGGAAACCGGGAAACCGGGAAACCGGGAAACCGGGAAACCGGGAAACCGGGAAACCGGGAAACCGGGAAACCGGGAAACCGGGAAACCGGGATACCGGGATACCGGGATACCGGGATACCGGGATACCGGGATACCGGGATACCGGGAAACCGGGAAACCGGGAAACCGGGAAACCGGGAAACCGGGAAACCGGGATACCGGGAAACCGGGAAACCGGGAAACCGGGATACCGGGATACCGGGATACCGGGATACCGGGAAACCGGGAAACCGGGATACCGGGAAACCGGGAAACCGGGAAACCGGGATACCGGGATACCGGGATACCGGGATACCGGGAAACCGGGAAACCGGGAAACCGGGAAACCGGGAAACCGGGATACCGGGAAACCGGGATACCGGGATACCGGGATACCGGGATACCGGGATACCGGGAAACGGGGATACCGGGAAACCGGGAAACCGGGATACCGGGATACCGGGATACCGGGATACCGGGATACCGGGATACCGGGATACCGGGAAACCGGGAAACCGGGAAACCGGGAAACCGGGAAACCGGGAAACCGGGAAACCGGGAAACCGGGAAACCGGGAAACCGGGAAACCGGGAAACCGGGAAACCGGGAAACCGGGAAACCGGGAAACCGGGAAACCGGGAAACCGGGAAACCGGGAAACCGGGAAACCGGGAAACCGGGAAACCGGGAAACCGGGATACCGGGAAACGGGGAAACGGGGAAACGGGGAAACGGGGAAACGGGGAAACCGGGAAACCGGGAAACCGGGAAACCGGGAAACCGGGATACCGGGATACCGGGATACCGGGAAACCGGGAAACCGGGAAACCGGGAAACCGGGAAACCGGGATACCGGGATACCGGGATACCGGGATACCGGGATACCGGGATACCGGGAAACCGGGAAACCGGGAAACCGGGAAACCGGGAAACCGGGAAACCGGGAAACCGGGATACCGGGAAACCGGGAAACCGGGATACCGGGATACCGGGATACCGGGATACCGGGAAACCGGGATACCGGGATACCGGGAAACCGGGATACCGGGATACCGGGATACCGGGATACCGGGAAACCGGGACACCGGGAAACCGGGAAACCGGGAAACCGGGAAACCGGGATACCGGGATACCGGGATACCGGGATACCGGGAAACCGGGAAACCGGGAAACCGAGAAACCGGGAAACCGGGAAACCGGGAAACCGGAATACCGGGATACCGGGATACCGGGAAACCTGGATACCGGGATACCGGGATACCGGGATACCGGGAAACCGGGATACCGGGATACCGGGATACCGGGATACCGGGAAACCGGGATACCGGGATACCGGGAAACCGGGATACCCGGATACCGGGATACCGGGATACCGGGAAACCGGGATACCGGGATACCGGGAAACCGGGAAACCGGGAAACCGGGAAACCGGGAAACCGGGAAACCGGGATACCGGGATACCGGGAAACCGGGAAACCGGGATACCGGGATACCGGGAAACCGGGAAACCGGGATACCTGGATACCGGGATACCGGGATACCGGGAAACCGGGAAACCGGGATACCGGGAAACCGGGAAACCGCGAAACCGGGAAACCGGGAAACCGGGATACCGGGATACCGGGATACCGGGATACCGGGAAACCGGGACCGGGATTCCGAAATTCCGGGATTCCGGGATTCCGGGATTCCGGGAAACCGGGAAACCGGGAAACCGGGAAACCGGGAACCGGGGAACCGGGGAACCGGGATACCGGGATACCGGGATACCGGGATACCGGGAAACTGGGAAACCTGGAAACCGGGAAACCGGGATACCGGGATACCGGGATACCGGGATACCGGGAAACCGGGAAACCGGGAAACCGGGGAACCGGGGAACCGGGGAACCGGGGAACCGGGGAACCGGGGAACCGGGGAACCGGGATACCGGGATACCGGGATACCGGGAAACCGGGAAACCGGGAAACCGGGAAACCGGGAAACCGGGAAACAGGGAAACCGGGAAACCGGGAAACCGGGCAACCGGGGAACCGGGGAACCGGGGAACCGGGGAACCCGGGAACCGGGGAACCGGGGAACCGGGATACCGGGATACCGGGATACCGGGATACCGGGAAACCGGGAAACCGGGAAACCGGGAAACCGGGAAACAGGGAAACCGGGAAACCGGGAAACCGGGAAACCGGGAAATCGGGAAACCGGGAAACCGGGATACCGGGATACCGGGAAACCGGGAAACCGGGATACCGGGATACCGGGAAACCGGGAAACCGGGATACCTGGATACCTGGATACCGGGATATCGGGATACCGGGATACCGGGAAACCGGGAAACCGGGAAACCGGGAAACCGGGAAACAGGGAAACCGGGAAACCGGGAAACCGGGAAACCGGGAAACCGGGAAACCGGGATACCGGGATACCGGGAAACCGGGAAACCGGGATACCGGGATACCGGGAAACCGGGAAACCGGGATACCTGGATACCTGGATACCGGGATACCGGGATATCGGGATACCGGGATACCGGGAAACCGGGAAACCGGGAAACCGGGAAACCGGGAAACCGGGAAACCGGGAAACCGGGAACCGGGGAACCGGGGAACCGGGGAACCGGGAAACCGGGAAACCGGGACCGGGATTCCGAAATTCCGGGATTCCGGGATACCGGGAAACCGGGAAACCGGGATACCGGGAAACCGGGAAACCGGGAAACCGGGAAACCGGGAAACCGGGAAACCGTGAAACCGGGAAACCGGGAAACCGGGAAACCGGGATACCGGGATACCGGGATACCGGGAAACCGGGAAACCGGGATACCGGGATACCGGGAAACCATGAAACCGGGAAACCGGGAAACCGGGAAACCGGGAAACCGGGAAACCGGGAAACCGGGAAACCGGGAACCGGGAAACCGGGAAACCGGGAAACCGGGAAACCGGGATACCGGGATACCGGGATACCGGGATACCGGGATACCGGGATACCGGGATACCGGGAAACCGGGAAACCGGGACCGGGATACCGGGATACCGGGATACAGGGAAACCTGGAAACCGGGAAACCGGGAAACCGTGAAACCGGGAAACCGGGAAACCGGGAAACCGGGATACCGGGATACCGGGATACCGGGATACCGGGAAACCGGGAAACCGGGAAACCGGGATACCGGGAACCGGGAAACCGGGAAACCGGGAAACCGGGATACCGGGATACCGGGATACCGGGATACCGGGATACCGGGAAACCTGGAAACCGGGAAACCGGGAAACCGGGAAACCGGGATACCGGGATACCGGGAAACCGGGAAACCGGGATACCGGGATACCGGGAAACCATGAAACCGGGAAACCGGGAAGCCGGGAAACCGGGAAACCGGGAAACCGGGAAACCGTGAAACCGGGAAACCGGGAAACCGGGAAACCGGGATACCGGGATACCGGGAAACCGGGAAACCGGGAAACCGGGATACCGGGATACCGGGATACCGGGATACCGGGATACCGGGAAACCTGGAAACCGGGAAACCGGGATACCAACCCGGATACCGGGATACCGGGAAACCGGGAAACCGGGAAACCGGGAAACCGGGAAACCGGGAAACCGGGATACCGGGAAACGGGGAAACCGGGAAACCGGGAAACCGGGAAACCGGGATACCGGGAAACCGGGAAACCGGGAAACCGGGAAACTGGGATACAGGGATACCGGGAAACCGGGAAACCGGGATACCGGGATACCGGGAAACCATGAAACCGGGAAACCGGGAAACCGGGAAACCGGGAAACCGGGAAACCGGGAAACCGGGATACCGGGAACCGGGAAACCGGAAAACCGGGAAACCGGGAAACCGGGATACCGGGATACCGGGATACCGGGATACCGGGATACCGGGATACCGGAATACCGGGAAACCGGGAAACCGGGAAACCGGGAAACCGGGAAACCGGGATACCGGGATACCGGGAAACCGGGCAACCTGGAAACAGGGATACCGGGATACCGGGATACCGGGATACCGGGAAACCGGGAAACCGGGAAACCGGGGACCCGGGGAACCGGGGAACCGGGATACCGGGATACCGGGATACCGGGAAACCGGGAAATCGGGATACCGGGATACCGGGATACCGGGATACCGGGAAACCGGGATACCGGGATACCGGGATACCGGGAAACCGGGAAACCGGGAAACCGGGAAACCGGGAAACCGGGAAACCGGGAAACCGGGAAACCGGGATACAGGGATACAGGGATACAGGGATACCGGGAAACCGGGATACCGGGATACCGGGATACCGGGATACCGGGAAACGGGGAAACCGGGAAACCGGGGAACCGGGGAACCGGGGAACCGGGATACCGGGATACCGGGATACCGGGATACCGGGAAACCGGGAAACCGGGAAACCGGGAAACCGGGAAACCGGGAAACCGGGATACCGGGATACCGGGATACCGGGATACCGGGAAACCGGGATACCGGGATACCGGGATACCGGGATACCGGGATACCGGGAAACCGGGATACCGGGAAACCGGGATACCGGGAAACCGGGATACCGGGATACCGGGATACCGGGATACCGGGATACCGGGAAACCGGGAAACCGGGAAACCGGGAAACCGGGAAACCGGGAAACCGGGAAACCGGGAAACCGGGAAACCGGGAAACCGGGAAACCGGGAAACCGGGATACCGGGATACCGGGATACCGGGAAACCGGGATACCGGGATACCGGGATACCGGGATACCGGGATACCGGGATACCGGGATACCGCGATACCGGGATACCGGGATACCGGGATACCGGGATACCGGGATACCGGGATACCGGGATACCGGGAAACCGGGAAACCGGGAAACCGGGAAACCGGGAACTCGTCTGGGCCACTGGTCCTTCCCTTTGCACCACCTTAGGAACCGGTCATCACACCCCTCAACCGCACCTGGTCATCGTCCCCCACAACAGTGATGCGCCCGTGTGAGTGACAGAGAGCCTTGACGAATGCAAACTGGATGCGCGAGGTGTCTTGAAACTCGTCCACCAGTACATGCGTCCATGCTGACGCGCATTCCTCAAGCACTGCAGCAGCATGGGAGAGGAGGGGAGAAAGAGGGGCACTGAGGGGTGCAAAGGAGTGGCTCTAGCGCCAGCCCTCATGAACGCGAACTGGATGCGCGGAGGTGTCTTGAAACTTGTCCACCAGCACGTGCGTCCATGCTGACATACATTCTTGCAGCACTGCAGCAGTCAGGAGGGTATGATGGAGGGTAAGTAAGAGGCTGAGGAGTCATGATAGTCTACCGCATTGCACTGCATGTAGTACCTACAACGCACTAACTGTACGTGTCATTTAGTGCACCACTCTTCCTATCACCAGCACTTACCGTCAGCATGTCGTGTGAGCAGCATGGTGGAGAGCAGGATGAAGTCGTGATAGTCCACCGCGTTGCATTGCATGTATGCAGAGTCGCAGTGCCTTTCCATAAACCAGCTTGGAACTGAAACGCACCGTCAGCATGTTGCGTGAGCAGCATGGTGGAGAGCAGGATGAAGTCGTGATAGTCCACCGCATTACTGCCTGAGTACAATTATCAGCATACCTTCATACACCCACCAAGAAGAACCAACACTCACCATCGCTGTGGTGTGTGAGCAGCATGGCGGAGAGCAGAATGAAGTCATGATAGTCCACCGCGTTGCATTGCAAGGATAGTAGCAGCACCTCCCTAGGCACCACCACCCAACCAGCACTCACCATCAGCATGTTGCGTGAGGAGCATGGTGGAGAGCAGGATGAAGTCGTGATAGTCCACCGCATTATATTCTATGGATAGTAGGAACCAGCACACGACTGTTACGCACAATCACTGTGCTTCGTCAGCGGCATGGTGGAGAGCAGCACGATGAAGTCGTGGTAGTCCACCGCATTGCACTCATGCATAGTAGCTAGCAGGACCACCCCAGGCACCAGCTCAAAAGTGAAACTCACCATCGGAATGTTGTGTGAGCAGCATGGTGGAGAGCAGGATGAAGTCGTGATAGTCCACCGCGTTGCATTTCTCCAGCACAGATGCATATGCTCGCAAGACCCGGGCCTGGGAGGAGGGAGGATAAAAGGCGGGTGAACAGTCCAGTCCCACCACAGCATGGCAATGTGAGAGGGGTGTGAGCAGTCCAGTCCCACCACAGCATTGCAATGTGAGAGGGGTGTGAGCAGTCCAGTCCCACCACAGCATGGCAATGTGAGAGGGGTGTGAGCAGTCCAGTCCCACCACAGCATAGCAAGTGACTGCTCACACTGCCTGGAGCAGCAGACATGCATCTACATGCAATGCAAGAATCGTGCTTGGGAGGAGAGAGGGGAATCAGGCAGGTGAAGGGGAAACAGGTTTAACAGGGCGCTATCCTGGAAATCGACAGAGTCCTAGAAAGGAACAGGAGCCACCATAGAATGAGGAGAGATAGAGCCTTACTGCTTCCTGATTGCCCCGTGCTTCAAAGCTCTCTGCTGTTTGACCTGCTGCTTTAGCCTGTGGCAGTGAAAGAGACCATGGCATGGCATGGCATGGCATGTGGACACAGGAGCATATCGTGAGACGACAAGTTCTAAGTTGCCTGGAGACAGAAAACCGTCTGCTGCTTGACCTGACGCTGTGGCCTGTGCTAGTGAGATAGAGACTACAGGGTGGCGTGGGGACAATGGAGCTTGTCGTGAGAAGCGGTGAGGAGCAAGCAGCATGTCAAGTGGGGCCGAAAGGGATGGAGGGACACAGCAATGCGCGTGAGATGCTGACATGTGACTCAATCGTGTGCCACTGGTTGGCGGGGGCAGTGGGGTGGGGATGGGGGGGCATGTTGTGTCGGAAGGAAAGGATCAGGCAGCATGCCACGTGTGTGACAGCTATTTGGTGAGTCACTTTTGATAATTCTCAAAAGTGAGAGCATGTGCGACCGAGCAGGGCAGAGGCTGTATTGCGCAAGAGATGTTTACCTTTCGACTCCATTGCATGAGTAACAGATGGAGGGAAGGACAGACCTTCCACGTACCTCAGCTCCCTTCTCACTCACCCTCACTCACAATCACACTCACCCTCACAACAAACTTGACCCATTTCGCGGCTGCTGCTCGGCTCCTCTTCAGCTCCTCCACCTCCCTCCCCACCCTCTCCTCCACACTCTCTCCCATCTTCCCTCCTCCAGTCCCCTCTTCATTCTCCTTATTCCCTTTCTCTGCCCACCTGCTTGATCCTCCCGCACCTGCGGTCCCCGCACCTGCTGTCCCCGCACCTGCTGTCCCCGCACCTGCTGTCCCCGCACCTGCTGCTGCCCCATATGCCCTTCCATTACAGTCTCGACCAACCTGCCTGTCTTCTCTCCGCTGCTTCCCCACAATACCCTCCCCCCTGCTCGATTCCCCCTCCCTTTCCTCACCCTTCTCCCCCATCCCGCCATCTTCCCCCCCATCCCCCAGCGCCAGTCGAACAGCCTCAGTGATGGCTCTCCGCTGCTGCTTGTGCCCAAACACAAGGAAATCCGCTGTGCGCCCAAACCTGGGACAACGTGGGTGGGTGAATAGTGAGGAACGATGGGTGGAGATGGGGAAAGATGGTGGGGCAGGAAAGGCAGTAGCAACACATGGGTCAGCGAGTGATGGCCCTCCGCTGCTGCATGTGCCCAAGCACAATAAAATCTGATGTGCGCCCAAACCTGGGACATGGGGAGTGGGTGAGCAGAGGGGGTTAGTGGTGGGCGGAAGCATGACACCTCTACCTCAGAACTCACTTGTAGAGCATCGCGACCATGCCTCAACTCGAAAGCGCAAAACAGAACTTACTTCTCAGCATGGCTCCTGCACAGCTGCAGGCACAACGAGTGGAACGTGCTAACTGCCACTTCCCCTGCCACCCCCTGCTCTCCCTCCTTTCCCCCCCTGCCTTCCTTCCCTTCATTCCCTTCCTTGGCTTCCTTCTCTTCCTTCTCTTTCTTGCTGTCCAATCCTGTCGCCCCTCCCTTGTTTTCTCTCCTTCCCTTTCCTGCCGCCCCAGTCTTCTTGCCTGCCGCCCGCCTCCCTTGGCTGGCCAGCACGCGTTCTCGCATCTCATTGGCTGCTGCTGTAGTGAAGGTCATTGCGAGGATGCGATTGGCTGGCACACCCACGTGCAGCAGATGCAGAATGCGAGCGACCATGGTCGAGGTCTGGTGGAGGGGGGGTGTGAGGGGGAGAGGAAAAGGGGGGAGAAGGGGGAGAGGAAAGTATACGGATTTCAAAGGCGCATGCTGATAGCAGCACACCCACGTGCAGCAGATGCAGAATGCGAGCTACCATGGTTGACGTCTGGTGGAGAGGGGAAGGAGAGCGCGGGGGGGAAGGGGCGAAAAGGGGGGAAAGAGAGGGGAGAGGTGCGAGAGGAAAGTGGACGGAGGTTTGAGGTGCATGCTGATAGCAGCGCACCCACGTGGAGCAGCATGCAGGATGCGAGCTACCATGGTCGACGTCTGGTGGCGGGGGGAAGGAGCGAAAGGGGGGGAGGGGCGGGAAGGGGGCAAGAGAGGGGAGAGGTCGGAGAGGAATGTGGACGGAGGTTTGAGGTGCCTGCTGATAGCAGCACACCCACGTGGAGCAGATGCAGGATTCAATTTACCATGGTCGAGGTCTGCTGCAGGGGGGAAGGATTGACAAGAGGGGGTGGTAGTGAAAAGAGCTTCAAAGTGGCCTTGGTAGCAGCACACCCACGCTCAGCAGAGCAGATGCACAATGCGAGCCACCGTTATTGAGGTGTGTTAGAAGGCAGGAGGATGCGCACCAAAACATGCCACACCACACCATGCCACACCACACCACGCCACACCACACCATGCCAAACCACACAGGACTAACCTTGCCGCTTCCCGGCCCTGCGAGCACCAGGAGTGGTCGGTCCACATCTGCTGCTGCTGCAGGGCCACACTGCACCATACTACACCACACCACACCACGCCGAACCACACCATACCACACCACACAGGACTAACCTTGCCGCTTCCTGGTCCTGCGAGCACCAGCAGTGGTCGGTCCACATCTGCTGCTGCTGCTGCCCTTTGCTCTGCATTCAGCCGCGCCAAGTAAGGCTCCTCCTTGCTTACACACGCTCCTGCTGCTACTTCTGCTACAACTTGTGCCACTGCCTCCACTTCTCTTGCTGCTATTGCTGCTGGTGCAGCTTCTGTTTCTTCCACTTCTGCAGCTACTTTTCCTGCATCTCTAACTTCTCCTGCTGCTCCTGCTTCTGCAACTACCACATTGCCTGCTGCTCCTCCACCCTCGCCTCCTCCTACGTCTTCAGCATCTCTAGCTAGACAACTCTTCCCTTCACCCCACTCGCTACCTACTTTCACATGCCCCATCGCCTCACCACATTCCCCCAGGCTCGTTTGTCCCACCCCAGTGCGCGTATCCGAATCAAGCCGTGGCTTCACCACTCTCCACCCCAGAGAACCCAGTGCAGATTCTGCTGCAGCTGCTTCTGTTGTCGCCTCTCTAGCTGCTGTTGCCTCTGCTGCCGCTGTTGCCTCTTCTGGTGCTGCCAATGCTGCTGCTGCCGCCCCTGCTGTTGCTGCTGCCACCTCTGCCATGCCTTCCGCCTCCACTGGTTGCACACTCGGACATATCCCTGTGTCATTCCCTACTTGCCCCTCCCCACCTTCACCTGCACACCCCTCCGCTCCACTGGCACTGCGCACCCTGCTCCCCCCAGGCTCTTTCTCAGGTGTCTCAAACAGACGGCATCCTGGGCCTAAGTCAGAGCCCTGATGCCGCCTCAAGCCCCAAACACCCTGCGCCTCCAAAGAGGTACCGGCAGCAGAAGCATCAGTGCATGCACCTCTTGCACCCAACGAGCCTCTACTGCCACCAGCATATCCTCCGCTCGCGTATGAACCGCACACGGAACTTGCTGCCGCTGATCCGGCTGGTACTGGAGCTGCTTCTAGCGAGGACGCAGGTGGCACGTTGGGAGGGAAGGGCCGATAAGGGGTTGGCGTGGCTGGCGTAGCACGCTGAAAACCAACAGCAGGTGTCGCCTGCTGTTGAGCAGTAACCGAGGTTACGCCATGCTTCTGTGGTGTCCCAGCTCGCCTGACGGATTGCTGTTCCGGAGAGGCTGCTGCATGTCTCGCATGTGTTGGTCTACTGCCATCTATAGGAGTGGTGAATCTGGGAGCTGAAGGGGTAGAATGGTGGTGTGCCGGGACGGTCGGCATGTGCTGGAGTGTAGTGGCTGGTGATGAAACGCACATAGATTGGGGGGTCACTGGTGACATGTGGCGTGATGTGATTGGACCAAAGGCAAGCACCGCAGGAGTATGCGGGGACATGCCATGTGCTGATGACGTGTCGTGTTTATGCGATGACATGTCAGATCCGTGTGCTGATGTGGCTGGAAACGGCTCTGTAACTGACGTGTTGGACTTGCTGAATGGTCTTCTGGGAGATGCGCTGTTGGGAGGTGGCATGGTCTTGGGGAATGGAACGATGGGAGGAGGAGGCATGGCTTCTCTGTTTGTCCCTTCTCCATCCTCCCTTTCTTGCTGCGATTTTGCAGCGCCCACAAATACGGCAGCACAACTCGCAGCAGCAGCGACAGAAGGAGCAGCAGACGCACCAGCAATAGCAGACACATCTTCATTCCCACCAGTGACAGCAGTGCGGCCAGCAGCAGCACCAGCGGCGCTCGCAGCAGCTTCTGCTGCAGCTAACGCTTGCTCCTCTGCCTCCATCCATTCGGCATCAAATCCATCTGCTTCTGCTGAGTCAGCAGCATCAACCTTATCCGCTCGTGCTGACTCATCAACATACTCCGACGCCTCTCCAGGGAGCAGGACTCCTCCAGAGGCATTAGTAGCATCTTCAGGATTTGGCTTATTAAGATTACTGCTTACAGATTTGGCGATTTTTAGCAACTCGATGCCTTCATGCGACTTGACTCCGCATTGCATCCCACCGTTTGTTCCTGCAGCGTCAACAGCCTTCAATCCGACATTTTCGACGGATTTCAAATCGCCAAACGACTTTACGTCTCCTGGAAAATCTGCATCTCCTGGCGATTTCACGGCGTCAGGCGTTTTGCCAGGTGACCCACAGGGGGAGCGGCAGGTGGGGGAAGGAGACGCAGAACGAGCCTGCTTCAATGGCGGAGAATCAGGCTCAGCAAGCCACGTGTCAAGCATCTGAAGCGAGACGCGTCCTCTTTTCGAAACCCCCAGTCGTCTCCTCCTGCTCTGCTGCTGCTGCTGCTTCTGCTTCTGCTGGTGCTGCTGCTGGGTATCTTGGTGCGTGCTGCTATGAATTCGGCCGTCATTCTTCGTAGCAATGTCTAAACGGATCGGCGAAGCACAGAATCCATTATGGACGGAGCGCAATGAACGAGAGGATGCATCCGAAGCGCCGAAAGGACTTTCTGGACGACGCGGCTCCTCCGACTCGCGTGAGACACGGCGAAAATCCGGGAGGACGTTTCCGAGATCGGCGCCGTCGGAACCGCTGGGAATCGCGTCGCATGGCGGACGCGAGGAATTTCCACGCGGCAACGAGAGATATTTTTCTTCGTATGGCTTGGGTTGGTCGTCACGTGAAAAAGAATCATGATTATGATCATTGCGAGAGGATGGCTTGTCCAGAGACCTGTCGGATGGACTCCTCGTCGTTACGAGAGGATGGCTTGTCGTTACGAGAGGATGGCTTGTCGTTACGAGAGGATGGCTTGTCGTTACGAGATTGCAAAATCTACTACTTCTCTGGTCCTCCTGTCGCCTATCTTGCTCTCTATTCGTGTCCGCTACGGGTTGTCGTCCCGCATTACACGGACGCATAGGCCATCTTCCCGTAGAGCCTCCCTGTTTCGATCGATCATTACCAAATCCATCCATCGCCGTAAATTACCTCAAATTCCTGGATAAATAAGAGTCACAGCGATCATCTCTAAGGGTATGAAACTACGCTGGTTAGGATTCGAAATGAAGCAATGTAGTAGGAAGGAGACGTTGAAGGTTTTCCAGAATGAAGGTGCCTCCTGTCCTGAGCTATCTGATAGGAGATACAGAATGAGGCTTCACGCTGACGCTCGTATACATCAGCCCACTGACTGACAAAAGGCCCAGCACCAATCTGCATTCTCGAGATGGGAGAAACACGCTCGTGCACTTGCTAATATCGAGGCACTTCTTGGATGGGTGTAACAAAACAAATTCTTTAAATTTCTTACTTACAGGTAGCTCCATTCTCATGAAAACGTGGAATGCAAACAAGCTCCACAATAAAAAATGCTCAAACAGCCTCATGTCAAGAATAGAACTAGGAATGATGGATTGGACTAGGCAAGAGGTGAGTACAAATAGGGGAAACCTAACCCTAAAGTGTTGTACTCACTAAGGAGTGACCCTGCTGTAGCCTAGAGATACAATTGTAATCTGACACACCCCCATAGGCAAAGTAGGGGACAGCAAACACAACAAGCGGTCACAAGACCAGTCTGCAGAAGAGAACACAGCTCAGGGTGGATCACAAAGTCACCACGCATTCTGAGCACAAGCAAGTGGCCACAAGGCCAGTTCACATGCAGAGGTATATAATAGCAAGGCAGTACACTGATCACAACCTAGCAAGAGAAAACATGCAGGTATAAAGAAATATAGCAGTGTACAACAAGAGCAAGTCAAGCAACCAACAGGTGAGGCAGAGTGGGCACAAGCCCAAGAGCAGTGCAGAAACGGTGATGATCACCAGCCCCAAGGGCCTTGGTGAAGACATCAGCAGTGTTGGCCCGAGAGGCCACGTAAGCAAGACGCAGCTGACCACGCTGCTGCAGCTCACGCGCAAGGAAGTAGCGAAGAGCAATGTGCTTCGTTCTGTGCTCCAGTCTCTGCTCGCGACACAAGGAAAGCATTGCCTTGTTGTCGACGTACAGAACTGGAGGAGAACGAGGCCGCTCCCCCAAGTCGGTCAGAAGGTAGGTCAGCCAGCGTAGCTCCTGTGCAGCCATGGCCCCAGCGTAGATCTCGGCCTCACAGCTGGAACCAAGCACAGAAGAAGAACGAGTGGACCTCCACGAGACAGAACCAGCGCCAAGACTGAAGGTGTAACCCTGTGACGAACGCTGAGTCGTCTGGTCGTCGGCCCAAGAAGCGTCAGAGTGTCCTGTGAGGACCACCGAACCCCGTCCTCCAAGCACGAGCCCCATGCCCGATGTGCTGCACAAGTAACGCAGCACCCTCTTCGCAGCATCAAAGTGCACCTTTCGGTGTCGACCAGGTGCCACGTAGCGAGCCAGGAGGCTGAGAGGGTACGCGAGGTCAGGTCGTGTGCACGTCATCAGGTACATGAGGCAACCCACAAGCTCTGGGTACGGACCACTCGACTCTACAGACTCGTCCGAAGGTGGAGCTGAGAGCGAGTGGCCGGTAGACAGAGGAGTGGGCTGTGGCGAGGACCAAGTGAAGCGGAAGCGCTGAAGGACCTGGTGCACCATGTGTGACTGAGTCAGGGTGATGGTGCGCCGTGGTCTGTCCCGGGTGATCTGCAAGCCAAGATAGCTCCGCAGCTCACCCAGGTCAGTGCAGGTGTGTCTCTCCTGCAGCTCCGCCTTCACTAGGGCCAGTGCCTCAGTGTCAGCAGTAGCAAAAACCAAGTCGTCGACGTACACGAGGATGTAGAACGGCGGCAGAGTAGTGTCGGTGCGTAGAAACAGCGACGGGTCAGCAGTCGAAGGAGCAAACCCAAGAGCCGCAAGTGTCGTCCTCAGTGTGTCGTGCCACTCACGGGGCGCCTGACGCAGGCCGTACACTGGTCGCCGTAGGCTCCACTGGGTACCCTCAGGAAACGACCCAGTGAAGCCCTGTGGACGGCGCAACCAGATGGCCTCGTGAAGGCTACCCTGCAAGAAAGCTGTTGAGAAGTCGAGGGAGTGCAGCTCGTAGTCACGCTGAGCTGCAACGTGTAGCAACACCCGAAGAGTGGTCATCTTCGGGGTGGGGGAGAAGGTCTGAAAGAAGTCAACCCCCTCACGCTGACTGAAGCCTCGAGCAACGTAACGTGCCTTGAAGGCAGGCGGAGAACCCGGCGGCCGCTTCACCCTGAAAATCCACATGCCACTGACGATGTTCGCCCCAGGTGGGGGAACCTCGTCGACGTAGGTGCCTGTGGACTTCCAGGAAGCCATCTTTGCGTCCATGGCTGTCTGCCACTGAGAGGAGTACTCACCCGAAATCGCCTCCCTGTAGGAGCGCGGGGTGGGGATGTCAAGTGCATCCGGGTCTCCCTCAGGGGCAAGCAGCATGGTCGTGTGATGGGGTGAAGCGGCAGCAAGGCACTCCAGCTCCTCCTGTCTGTCCTCAAGAACGTCACAGCCAAGGGCAGTACAGCCAAGAGCAGTCTCACCCCCGACGGACGGAGGACAGGCAGGGACAGGGTCAGAGACAAGACTCGCAAGGTAGTCTAGGCGGTACACAGCAGCAAAGTCAACGAGCTCAGCTACTAGGGTAGACGCAGCAGGAGACGAGAACGTAGGGTCCGTCACAACCGTAGCAAGAAGGCGAGTAACAGTCGGACTGGACGCACGAGCAAGGTCAGACGGAGGGTCAACAACGTCAGGCAGAGAGGACGCAGGAGGTAACGGTAGTACAACACGCTGAGGAACAGAGGAAGGACGGAGTGTCATATCGTGAGTGCCGGGGACAGCCGGAGCACGCGGACGACGAACACGAGGAACACGAGCACGGACAGCAGCTCTAGGCTCAGGCTCAAGGTCAAAGCTAGACTCAGGCTCTCGACGCTCAGGGGTGGAAGCACGAGTCTCAGGCTCTCGACGCTCAGTCAGGGACTCTGACACCGCAGTGTAAGGAGCAGGAGCAGGCAGTGGGGAGTGTGGTAGCAGCGGTGGCTGTGACTGGTCCACTGGCGGACACAGCAACGGAGGAGTAGTACCTGCCACAGGGAAGCCAGTAGCACCTGGCGGAAGACTGAGAAGGTGGCGAAGAGCACCAGTAGCTCCCGTACCTCCAGCACGAGCAGCTCCTCCAGTACCCCCAGCAAGACCTCCAGCACCAGTAGCACCAGCACCTCCAGCACCACGAGCTCCGACAGCGCCAGCACCTCGAGCACCAGTAGTACCTCCAGCACCTCCAGTGCCACCAGCTCCAGTACCTCCAGCACCGGCAGCAGCTCCAGTACCCCCAGCACTAGCAGCTCCAGTACCTCCTGCACCAGCAGCACCTCTAGTACCTCCAGTAGTACCTCCAGCACCTCCAGCAGTACCTCCAGCACCTCCAGCACCAGCAGCACCTCCTGGACTAGTAGCTCCAGCACCAGCAGGACCGTACCCTCCACCACCAGGACTGCCTCGCAGAACGACCCACGCACG